AATCAATTCAACAATCACATTGATAATGAACCTGAGCAAAATTTCTTTGATTCCTTTTTTAATGTCCTTGTTAATCGTAATTTCAATTCTGCACTACGGTAGAAAAGGCTTTCTATCTCGGTTAAAATGGGATTTCTACGTCAGTTAAAGAGACGACATATATACAGGGGTCATAGAAAGTAAGACTTTTTACGTCGGTTATTATGAACCGCCATAGAAAGTATCACTTTCTACGTCGATTAATCATACAACCGACGTAGAAAGTCTTACTTTCTATGTCAGTTTATACCAGTGGCGGATCTTCTTGGGAGCTGAGGGGGGTCATGATCCCCCCAAAGTTTTGTAACTCCCATGTAATTTATGATTTTAGCCCCCCTCCCAAACTTAATGAACATTTAATATATTTACTTGCATATTTATAATTTTATCCTCTCAGTCTCTCCTCGGTTTTGTAACTCTCATATAATTTATAATTTTGTCCCCCTCAAACTTAATGATCATTTAATATATTTAAGTATATATCTACAATTTTATCTTTTCATCCTTTCATCTTCTTTCTTCCTTTTATATTTATTTATTATTTATTATTTATTAATAATATATTATTTGACTCCCCAAGATCAATGGTCAAGATCTGCCACTGGTTTATACTATTAACCGACGTAGAAAGTCTCATTGTTTGAACCTCTTAAGTGGGAATAGGGATTGGGACAACAACATTCGAACAAAATCAAGAAAGAAATTGACTTAGAATGTAGCAACTAAATTGGCTAAAGGACACCCGTGATCTTTTTCTCTGTTGACAGCATTATCATAGACCATAATCAAAATTGTAAACCTAGAATGACTACAGAAACACATTCAAATGGCTAGAACAGGCACTAAAACTTACCTCTTGAAGACCTAGAATCAAAACTCGCAGCGAAGGACACCAACGACAACGGCGACAGCAGCAGCAAGTGGTGCGACGGAAGCGGTAGGTGGCATGACATACATCGGCGACGAGGTTCGCAGTAGAGATAAAGAGAATGGGGAGCTCTGCTATGGGTGAAGTGATGAAATGGAGTGATGAGGGCAAAGAAAAATAGAAGATAATATGTCGGTTGCCCAAATATCCGTCATAAAATACACTTTTTATGTCGGTTAAACTAAAACCGACATAGAAAGTTCACTTTCTATGTCGGCTGAAATTCAATTGACATAAAAAATGAATTTGCCCACATACCATGTCAGTTACATAATAATCGACATAAAAAGTTCATAAAATTATTACAAAAATATCACCGTCCTACATATTATGACGGATGGATTACAACCGTCATAAAAAGTTGTCATAGAATCATATTTTTCCACTAGTGCTGGAAATATGAAAGCACAAGAAAATCAAAGTCAAAATCAAAGCACAAAACATAAAAAACCACATGCTTTTTTACAGGACTATTGCCACAATGTCTTAAGTAATTCTAAATTTGAAATAAAAAAGGGAAACTATCTTATATATTTTGTTCTCTACTCTCATAGAAACAACTTCAGTATGCTTTCGCTTTGTCTACTAACTTTGAGCCTTATATGTATGATCAAGATGCTTAAATTCCTAAATGGCAGAAAGCTATGAAAAGAGAGCTTGATGCTATTGAAAAAACAACACTTAAGAGATGACTAATTTGCCATACAATAAAAAAACTCATTAGATGCAAATTGGGTATACAAAATTAAGTACAAAGTATATGGAAATATTGAGCGATAGAAGGCCCGTTTAGTTGTAAAAGACTATAATCAGCTTAAAGGAGTTGATTATATAGACACATTCTCTCTTATGGCTAAGCTATTTACCGTTAAAACTCTCTTCTTGTCATTGTTGCAACACAGAATTGGTACTTGAAACAACTAGACGTTGACAATACCTTTCTACATGGAGATCTGGAAGAGGAAGTTTATATAAAAATATATCCTGGATTCACTACTCACAAGAACAATCAGGTATGCAAATTTAAGTTATCCAATTTAGTGTTGATCATTCTTTATTCACTAAAAGTAACACATCTTCCTTTGTAACTTTACTTGTTTACATTGATGATATTATCCTTGCATGAAATTCCTTGGAAGACATTTAATAGGTTACTCTCAATCTCGACCAAACCTTCAAAGTCAAAGATCTACATAATTTGAAATATTTCTTAGGTCTTGAAATTGCAAGATTAAAAGAAAGGATCCACATATGTTAGAGGAAATATGCGTTCAATCTTCTTAATGATACTAGGTTAGTTGCTACTAAACCCGCTCTCAGTCCTATGATCAGAAACACTAAATGTTTCTTTGATGATAACGCCTTGTCCTATGATGTGACTTATTACCAAAAACTCATTGGAAAACTCATTTATTTGACAAACACTACACCAGGCATTTGTTATGTTGTACATTTCTTAAGCTAGTTCATAAAGGTTCCTACTATACATCACTACAATGTTACTCAACGCACTCTTAGGTTATAAAAAATGTTCCAGTATAAGGATTATTTTTTTCAAGAAACTTTATTCTTCAAGTAAAGACATTCAGCAAATCATACTAGACTATTTACCAAACCACTCGGTGATCCATTGCAAGATTTTGTATCTTCCTTGAATCTTCTCTCACAAGTTGGAAAAAAAGAAGAAGCAGAGTATTGTATCTCACTCCTCTTTTAAAGCCAAATACCGTGTTTTGGCCACAATCACTTGTGAAATTCAATGACTTACTTATTTGTTGAAAGATCTGAAAATTGAAACTATTGTTTTAGTTGCTCTTTTATGAGACAATGAATTTGCTTGACACATCACTCTTAATCAAACGTTTTATGAAGACACAAATTATATAAAAATTGATTGTCATGTGGTTCGTGAAAAACTTATTTTCTTCTAATTTTAACGAAACAACAATTAGTATATATTTTCATTATGTCTCTCAAGCCAAAAGATTTAGTAAGATTATGACCAAACTTTGTGCCTTTAACATTTGCATCAGAACTTGAAGGGATTATTAACTTCCTTTTATTACTTTCACCTAACAAGCTCTTATATATATAACTTCCTTTCTTCTTCTTCTTTTTATGTATTTTTTTTATAAATAATACACCCTTTAATATTTTTCGTGCAACTATCCCACCAGGCACGTTCTCTTCCAATCAAGTTTTACAACATTTTGATTTTATGTGTTTTCCAAGTTTTCTTTATTCATATCATGTATTAAAAGACATATAATAGTGTGTGATCGAGAATATGAGGTATTTATTTTGAGATTGTGATTTTGTAGAAAAGAAAAAATAATAATCTATGAGTAATGGAAATGGATTTATAATCTTCGTTTATATAATATATATATATATATATATATATATATATATATATATATATATATATAAAGAGAAGATTTGTATAATATAGATAATTATTAAAAAAAATAATTGAGTAAAAATAAACTTTTAAAAATATAATTATCTATGTTCCAATTAAAATTAAATTTTTTTGAGTTAAATTATGTATATATATAATCTTAAAACAAAAATTCTCCACGTATTATATTAAAATTAAAAACTAAAAACATAATTAATGAATTCATTTTTTATATTTTTTTTATTTTTATGATGAAAATACATTTAATAGAAAAATCAATAACTATTATATTCAAATTTAAGTTTAAATTATGTAAATATATATAATTAAAATAATAAATTTAAAAAATTACAATAATATAAAAAAATGTAAATTAAAAACTTAATTTTTGGACAGAACTCATTAGACATTTCCACCGTTTAAACTAAAAAAAGTAAAAAAAATATAAATTAGAAACTTAATTTTTTAATAGAACTAACTCATTATTATACTGCACATTTGCTCCGGTTAAACTAAAACAAATTCTTGTATCTAGTATGTTCATAACTCTTTAAAAAAATCATCAATCATATTTTTATTTATGTAATAATTATGAAAATAATTTATAAAAATAAAAGTAAAAAAATCTTTTCCTTGTATGAAAAATGAAAGATAACTAGGGCAACCACCAAACCTGAAACTGTTAGTTATAAAGGTATCTAAGCGCCTCCATCTACTCTTTCTCTCTCCCGTGCGTGCTGAAGCTGAGAGTGAAGGCGAAGGCGACGCGTCTTACGCACTCTCCATCTGGTATTATTCAACTCTCTCTCTCTCTCTCTCTCTCTCTCACTTTCTCTATTACACATTTACTTTCTTCAATTAATTTTAATTCACAGCAAGTTTTAATCAATCGTCCATTCCCCCCTTATTTTTTCCTTTGAATTCTTGAATTTGTGGCAAACATGGACCTAAATAAGGCTCAAAATTCGGGTCCCCAATTCTTGAATACTTGCTTGCACAGTAAAGGTTTATTTCTGTAAATATCTTAGGATTGAGTTTAGTTTGGGAAATTTTGTGGGATTTGGGTTTATTGGGGGGATTTTCATGATAGAAATTGTGCCTGGTAGCTCCGCAAGTGAAAATTAAAGGGATAGAGAGAGAAAACTATTACAGTTGTTGACATGGTCTCATGTTTATTGTAGTGAAAATTCCGAGATTGGTGGTGTTTTTTTTTCCCTTATGGTCATGCTGCTTTTACCATTTTTTACCGTTGCAACCTTATTAATATTGATATGGGTTGAAATGACACTTGTTTATAGTAGGATTTAGATAAACATATTCACTCTGACTCTGCCTTTTAGTCAGTAAGTGGGAATTAAAGAAGAGAGGGATGGGGTGGCGCTTTCTTTTGTCTGAGGCTTCCTTACTGAACATTTTTGAGTTTGGTGGAGATTTTTCCTTTTGGTTTATTATTTCTACATTTTTAATTATGCAGTTTTCAAATTTCTTTGCCCTTGTAACCCTGTGAATACGGTTGGTTGTCACTTGCCGTGTAATGAGATTTTGGGAACTGTGTTCACTGTGATTCTTATTTTTTGCTTACTAAGCTAAGGTTCTGATAGTGGCCCTAATGTGGTGAACAGATTGAACAAAATGTACACTTCCAGGAAGAAAATTCTCAAGGATAAGGATGCTGAACCCACTGAATTTGAGGAGACAGTTGCACAGGTTATTGCGCTTTTTCTGTTTCTTTAGAATGAATCTATTTCACGAATTCATGATTATTCTTAATATTGAAGCTCTGTTATTTGATGTCTGTGCAGTACATATTTGACTTGGAGAACACCAACCAGGATCTGAAAAGTGACTTGAAGGATCTCTATATAAATCAAGCAATGTAAGAATGTTGCAAATAATCAATTGATGTATGCTTGGTCATAAAAGTTTTTTCTCATCAGAAGAATAATTTTTCTCATGTAGTCAAATGGATGTGGCCAATAATCGCAAGGCTGTAGTCATATATGTACCTTTCAGATTGAGGAAGGCATTCCACAAGATTCATCTCCGACTTGTAAGAGAGTTGGAGAAAAAATTTAGCGGGAAGGTTGTATTTTACTACAATATACCTTGATATGAAATAAATGTCTTTATTTTTCTTTTCTATTTTCCCCCCTATGTACTTGTTTACCATATCACCTTATGGTTATACCGAGTTCCTGGAACACTGAATTGTATGTATTAACTGAAGAATGTATATCAAATGTCAGGATGTTATTTTGCTTGCCACAAGGAGGATCTTGAGGCCACCAAAGAAGGGCTCTGCCGTTCAACGTCCCCGAACCCGGACATTGACTGCTGTTCATGATGCCATGCTAGAGGATGTTGTTTATCCTGCAGAGATTGTTGGCAAAAGGGTCAGATATAGAATTGATGGGTCAAAAATAATGAAGGTAATTTCTTGTGAAGTTCATATTAATTTGAATTTTTTTCTTTCATTTCCCATGTGACTAATAAATTGTTTCTTTTGACAATATCTAAATTTAAGGTTTTCTTGGACCCCAAGGAGCGCAATAACACCGAATACAAACTGGAGACTTTTTCTGGAGTTTACAGGAAGCTTACTGGAAAAGATGTAGTATTTGATTATCCAGTCACAGAAGCCTGACGTATGCTCCTTTTAACGGAGGATTTTTATTTTGCAGATTTTGTTAGAATTGCACATTATATTTAACAACTTCCAAAATTTTGACTTCTGGAATTTTATTTGATACTTCTTCATGACATTAAAATTACTACGGAGTATTTTCTGTCGCACTAGAAATTATTGAGTGTGTCCAAACTTGTGCTTGATGAGGCCTTGGATTTAGATTGGTAAACATTGAGGCTGGGCTTTATTCGGTGCAAGACTGTTTGTGTTGTCCACAGTGCATGTTTGGTTTGAGTTGCTTTAAAAAAAAAACTTATTTTTCAAAAGTTCCTTTAGATAGTTAATAATATAAAACTATTTTCAAAATGATTTGAATTAAACATATCCAACATTTTGGTGTCTTTTGGAAGTGTCCTTAAAGTGAAACCATTTTGGTAAAATTGTGATTCAAGAGTTTAGATGGTCAGGGGTGAGACTTGTGTGATATTGGTGTCTTTCTTTACTCTAACTTTGAACACTAGTTTAGCAAATCATTGGCGTGTAAATGATTCTGATTGATTTGCTAGAGAAAAAATATGACATAAATTTATTATATTATGTCATCTTATTTATAATTTTATTGTAATTAAAAGAAAAGTAAAAAGAAGAAGAGAGAGAAAATCTGGTTTTCTTCTTCTTCTTCGTACAAACATGTCTCTCATCTCCATAACTCAGCTCTACCTTCTGATCAAACAAATATTGCAAGCTCTTATGGTCACTAAATACCTCAAATCTAGCTCCATACAAGTAATGCCTCCAGATTTTTAGAGCAAATACCACTGCTGCTAGCTCTAAGTCGTGTGTGGGGTAATTCTTCTCATGACTCTTCAGTTGTCTAGAAGCATAAGCCACTACCTTTTTATTCTGCATCAGAACACACCTTAACCCCTAATTGGATGCATCACAGAAAACTTCAAATGGTTTGCTTGAATCAAGAATAGTTAAGCGAGCTGGTCAACCTTTGTTTGAGTTCTAGAAAACTCTTCTCACATTGATTTGTCCAAACAAAGGGGTGGTCCTTCCTTGTTAACCGGGTTAGAGGAGCTACCACTCTGGAAAAACCTTTAATGAACCTCCTGTAATAGCCGGTCAATCCCACAAAACTTCTAACCTCGGACACTGACTTGGGGCGTTTCCAGTCCAGAACTGCTTCTACCTTGGCAGGATCCACTGCTATCCCCTGAGCAGACACCACATGCCCCAAGAATTTGATGTCTTCCATCCAAAACTCACACTTAGATAGCTTAGCATACAACTGTCTCTCCCTCAAGATCTCCAACACTACTCTCAAATGATGTTCATGCTCTTCATGCAAGCGTGAGTAGATAAGTATGTCATCAATAAAGACGACAACAAACTTGTCCAAAAAGGGATGGAAGATCCTATTCATGTAGTCCATGAAGATGGCTGGCGCATTCGTCACTCCAAATGACATGACCACGAACTCAAAGTGGCCATATCTGGACCTGAAGGCAGTTTTTGAAATATCTCCCTCTTTCACCAGAATCTGATGATACCTCGACCTCAGGTCGATCTTAGAGAATATTACTGCACCGTGCAACTGATCCAATAGGTCATCTATCCGGGGGAGGGGATATTTATTCTTGACTGTAAGCTTGTTCAACTGCCTATAGTCAATGCACAGTCTGTAGCCCCCATTTTTCTTCTTAACAAGCAGCACTGGTGCTCCCCAAGGGGACACACTAGGTCTGATCAATTTCTTGTCCAACAACCCCTCAATCTGCATCTTTAGCTCAGCCAATTCAGTTGGAGTCATCCTGTAAGGCGCCATAGACACTGGTCCTGCTCCAGGTATAAGGTCTATGGAGAACTCGACCTCCCTCCTAGGAGGTAACCCCGGTACTTCATCTGGGAATACATCAGCGTATGGGTTAGGATAGCATAACATTGGTCTCCCTCTTGGATCTCCTTCAAAGCTTGGGAGATGGACAACATCTCAAATTCCTCCGACTCGGGAAACAACAGTCTCTTCTGCCCACAGTCAATCAAAATCTTATTTTGGACTAGTCAGTCCATACCTAGGATCACATCTAGGTCTTTGAGGGGCAAGCAGATCAAATTCGCTTTGAATTTGTGACCTTCTACCACTAAGGGGCATCCACAACAAGCTTTGGATGCAACCACCAGATCAGTTGCTGGAGTAGACACGAACAACTCACAGGTAAGGTCCCTAACAGGCAAACCTAGTCTCTCAATACAATCAAGTGACACAAAGGAGTGTGTCGCTCCAGAATCATACAAAACTTTTAGTCTGTGACCAAAGAGGAAATACAAACCTTGGACTAGATCACTGAACTTCTCGGCTTCTGCTCCCTTAATGGTGAAGACCCTGCCGGCTGCTCTTGGCCTGATCTCCGTTCTCTGACCCCCAGTTGGCTGGCTCCCAGATGGAGTTACAGACAAATCCTCTCTACAGTCTCTGGCAAAATGCCCAAACTTCTGGCACCTGTAGCATCTAATAGGAGCTCGGATCTGCTGATGATGGAAGGAAGGTGAGCTCCTCCCTCTAAACTGGCTGCCCCCACCTGATTGGTGAGAAGTAGGAGCAAATTCCCTCATGGGAAAAGGGCGAGTATACGGGGTCCTCCTTTCTGGCCTCCTACTGTCGGGATGGGACCCAACTCTGCTAGAAGACTCCACTCTGCTACCTGAGGGTCCAGATACCGGTGGCACAACTGACTTGACTCTACCAACCACTAGTCTCTCTGCAGTCTTAGCCCTCTCAACCAGAACAGGAAAAATCAGCCACAAACATCGGCACCACAAACTCCTTTAGTTCCTGTCTCAGACCCTCCTCAAATTTGCTGCATAGCCATGCCTCAGTGCTCGATTGAGAATAGTATATGGCCAGGTGCTCAAATCTGGTAGCATACTCATGCACTGATAGATCTCCCTGCTCTAGCTTCAGAAATTCCGCCTCGTTAGCAAATCGTGCACTGCGTGAGAAATACTTTTCCATGAACTTCTCTCTGAAGCTTTCCCAACTGATAGTTTCGTCTCTGGCAATCATCAGCCTCTTGGTTCCTTTCCACCAAAATTCAGCCTCCCCTGCTAATAGATATACAGCAAAAGTAACCTTCTTATCCTCAGGGCACTCCATAACATAAAAAATCTTCTATATCCCTTCCATCCACATATCTGTCTGATCTGGGGTAGAATCTCCTGAAAACTTAGGCGGCTCGTGCTTCAATAAGTCAGCCAATACTGCTTGCCCTTAGGGCTGACTGGAGGAGGAAGCTAGAGTGGGGTTAGAAGTTGTTGCTGCTACTGCAACTGCTGCCGCTGCAGTGACCTCCCTTGATGCTTGCAATTCTTGCATAGCAGCCTGGTGCTGCTGTGCCATTACTACTCCTTGTTGTTGCATGGTAGCGGTCATTACTTTAATGGCTCTTAGTATTTGACTCACCTCATACTGGGGCTGAGGCTGAGGCTGGGGAGGTGGTCTAGGAGTCATCCTAGACATAAGAAGAAAGCAAAAATTATAATTCTATAATATACTACAATTATTTTAAGTCTACACGCAGTTAGCATAACAGGTCCATAAACCTAAGGTTTCCTAGAAATTACTGCTCTGATACCAATTTGTAACAACCCGTAAATTCTACTTAAAATTTTTAATAAATGAAGGAAGAAAATAACTTTTTCACCTAAGAGAGGTATAATAGTTCAGTTTACATATCTAAAATAGTTAAAAAGGAAAAAGAAAAGAAAACATCACACATCAAAAGTCCTAATTACACAAATGTTTTACACCTAATTACACAACACAAAATAACTCTTTCAAATTTAGGAGGTCTCTACTCCATTTCTCAAATCACTGGGTCTTACTACCACCTGTAGAAGATTTGGAATATGCTCACGTGTATAACACGATTATAGCAGGATCCCAAAAGATCAAGCACGCAACAAAAGCAAGGGTAAACTACCATTTGATTAAATATGTAGAACAGTGTAACATTGCAAACAACACTTATTAATTCACAAACATCCTAAAACTAGACTCACCGGAGAGTCTAGCATTTTACAATCACAACACACAACAAGATTGACGCTTTCCGGAAAACTATATGGAATTCAGACCAGTAAGGTAGACACCTGATGAGGAATATTTGGGGTCCCAGACCCTTAAAATTTCATGGCCCCAGGCCTGTAATATCATTTTTTTTCAACCTCTCATTAGAGCAACACATGCATAGGATTGACACTATGTTGTGTCTCCATCGACTTCCCACCACAGATGTCTTCGTCTATATGACTAGGAACATCTTGGAAGTCTGGATACCTTATTACGTCTATCCATAATTCCATACACATTATTCTACATAGTACATCAAATCTATCATTCAACAACTATTTCATTCACACTATTCTACTCAGGGTTTCTAGTATCAAACCAACATCATGCAGTTCAAAATGTCTAGTCCAACATTTAAATTCTCAACTACTATGCAATCATAATTCACTTAAAATGGTACATCATTTCTCCTTCAAACCACACAAACCAACCATACAATTTAGAAATTCAATGATACAAAGATATATATTTCAAAACAATTTACACTGCAAGATTTCCACAATGCTCACAATATCATATCACATATAGCACGTATATATATCACAAGCATACTCTCATATCACAAATAGCACGTATATATGTCACAAGCATATTCTCATATCACATATAACACGTATACATACTCTCATATCACATATAGCACGTATATATATCACAACATACTCTCATATCACATATAGCACGTATATATATCACAATCATACTCTCATATCACATATAACACGTATATATATCACAAACATACTCATCATTCACTTTATTAAATTTTTCATCAATACAATACAACCAATAAAAATTTAAGAAGCCTCCCTTACCTGAGGGTGATGTTACACGTCAACCTAATTCCAATAAAACCTTAGGAATGCCAAAACACCTAATTTGTACCGTTCTCCCCCAATTTGGAAAACCCTAAAACGAAATTGAAGTAATAAACAAAATTAAACCCGAAAACATGAAATTGGGGAGTGATAGAGTAAGAGGAAACATTTAATTCCACAATTAATTCCTTAAATTCTCAAAACCTCAAATTTTAACTAGCAAAAACCCTAAAATTCAAACTTACCCGAACGAAATTCTAATCGGTGGGTCCTCTGCTATTCTCCGCCGTGAGCACAACGGCGGTCTCAGATTCTTGATCGGGGAAGAAGAAAGTCTTGATCTGTAGGAGAGAAGGTAGAGCTGAGTTATGGAGATGGGGGATATGTTTGTACGAAGAAGAAGAAGAAAACCAGATTTTCTCTCTCTTCTTCTTTTTACTTTTCTTTTAATTACAACACTAGAGTTACCTGAGTGGAAGTGGGACAACATATCTATGGATTTCATTACCCACCTGCCCAGGACGGTTAGAGGACATCATCTGGATCATTGTAGACAGATTGACTAAGTGTGCCCACTTCCTGTCGGTCAATCTAAGAATGTCTATGGACAAATTGGCTCAGTTGTACATCAAAGAAGTAGTGAGGTTACACGGGGTACCCTCCAGTATTGTGTCAGACAAAGACACAAGGTTCACCTCACGATTCTGGCAGACCTTACAAGCAGCATTAGGAACTAGACTGAGGCTTAGTATCGCCTACCATCCCCAGACAGACGGACAGTCTAAGAGAACCATCCAAACCCTAGAAGATATGTTGAGGGCTTGTGTGCTGGATCATATGGGGGCTTGGGACGAAGTACTTCCCTTAGCAGAATTCACATACAATAACAGTTTCCATACCAGTATTGGAATGACACCCTTTGAGGTTTTATACGGGAGGAAGTGTAGGACCCCCTTGTGTTGGTATCAGGATGGTGAGAAATTCCTGGTTGGGCCAGAGTTAGTACAACAGACTACAGACAAAGTGAGGTTAATACAGAGCAGAATGAAGATTGCACAGAGCTGCCAAAAGTCTTATGCGGATAGGAGGAGGAGACCCTTGGAGTTCTCAACTGGTGATCATGTTTTTCTCAGAGTTGTACCTATGACTGGTGTTGGGAGAGTCATAAAACCTAAGAAGTTAACCCCGAAATTTATTGGACCCTACCAGATTACCAGGCGTATTGGACAAGTAGCTTATGAGATTGCCCTCCCCCGTCCCTTGGCAAGGTTGCACCCTGTATTCCACGTATCTCAATTGAGGAAATACGTGTCTGACCCGAGCCACATTTTGGAAGCTGATGAAATCCAAGTGAGAGAAGATCTGTCTTTTGAAGCCACTCCAGTGAGAGTAGAGGACTCACAACTCAGGCAGTATAAAGGTAAAACCATCAGAGTGGTCAAGGTAGTCCGGAATACCAAGCCGAGTGACTGCACATGGGAACTAGAAGAAAAGATGCGGAAGAACTATTCGCAACTGTTTACCTGGTAAGTATGATTTTCGAGGACGAAAATTTTAAATTGTTAAGAAGTATTGTAATATATTGTAATTAAAAGAAAAGTAAAAAGAAGAAGAGAGAGAAAATGTGGTTTTCTTCTTCTTCTTCGTACAAACATATCCCCCATCTCCATAACTCAGTTCTACCTTCTCTCCTACAGATCAAGAATTTCTTCTTCCCCGATCAAGAATCTGAGAACGCCGTTGTGCTCACGGCGGAGAATAGCAGAAAATCGACCGATTAGAATTTCGTTCCGGTAAGTTTGAATTTTAGGGTTTTTGCTAGTTAAAATTTGGGGTTTTAAGAATTTAAGGAATTAATTGTGGAATTAAATGTTTTCTCTTACTCTATCACTCCCCAATTTCATGTTTTCGGGTTTAATTTTGTTTATTACTTCAATTTTGTTTTAGGGTTTTCCAAATTGGGGGAGAACGGTACAAATTAGGTGTTTTGACATTCCTAAGGTTTTATTGGAATTAGGTTGACGTGTAACATCACCCTCAAGTAAGGGAGGCTTCTTTAATTTTTATTGGTTGTATTGTATTAATGAAAAGTTTAATAAAGTGAATGATGATTATGTTTGTCATATATATACGTGTTATATGTGATATGAGAGTATGATTGTGATATATATACGTGTTATATGTGATATGAGAGTATGTTGTGATATATATACGTGCTATATGTGATATGAGAGTATGTATACGTGCTATATGTGATATGAGAATATGCTTGTGACATATATACGTGTTATTTGTGATATGAGAGTATGCTTGTGATATATGTATATGAGAGTATGCTTGTGATATATATACGTGCTATATGTGATATGATATTGTGAGCATTGTGGAAACCTTGCAGTGTAAATTGTTTTGAAATAGATATCTTTGTATCATTGAATTTCTAAATTGTATGGTTGGTTTGAAGGAGAAATGATGTACCGTTTTAAGTGAATTATGAGTGCATAGTAGTTGAGAATTTAAATGTTGGACTAGACATTTTGAACTGCATGATGTTGGTTTGATTCTAGAAACCCTGAGTAGAATAGTGTGAATGAAATAGTTGTTGAATGATAGATTTGATGTACTATGTAGAATAATGTGTATGGAATTATGGATAGGCGTAATAGGGTATCCAGCCTTCCAAGATGTTCCTAGTCATATAGACGAAGACATCTGTGGTGCGAAGTCGATGGAGACACAACATAGTGTTAATCCTATGCATATGTTGCTCTGATAAGAGGTTGAAAAAAAAAATGATATTACAGGCCTGGGGCCATGAAATTTTAAGGGTCTGGGACCCCAAATATTCCTCATCAGGTGTCTACCTTACTAGTCTGAATTTCATATAGTTTTCCGGAAAGCGTCAGTCTTGTTGTGATTGTAAAATGCTAGATTCTCCGGTGAGTCTAGTTTTAGGATGTTTGTGAATTAATAAGTGTTGTTTGCAATGTTACACTGTTCTACATATTTAATCAAATGGTAGTTTACCCTTGCTTTTGTTGCGTGCTTGATCTTTTGGGATCCTGCTATGATCGTGTTATACACGTGAGCAGATTCTAAATCTTCTACAGGTGGTAGTAAGACCCAGTGATTTGAGAAATGGAGTAGAGACCTCCTAAATTTGAAAGAGTTATTTTGTGTTGTGTAATTAGGACTTTTGATGTGTGATGTTTTCTTTTTCAACTATTCTAGATATGTAAACTGAACTATTATACCTCTCTTAGGTAAAAAAGTTATTTTCTTCCTTCATTTATTAAAAATTTTAAGTAGAATTTATGAGTTGTTACAAACAACTTACAATTTATTTATTTTTTAACTTTTCTTTACAATGGATTTTTAAATTTCTTCACATTTTATAAACACAGATTAGGATGTAAATTAGTATTTTGTTTGAGACTTAATGCATGTGACTAAATGATGTTATTGTGATTATTATATTTATTTTTTATCCTTTTGATAATCTTATTTTCGTATTTCCTACATATATTTTTCGTTTTCATGTTCTATGATTTTCAATTTAGTCATGTGTCCGTGTTCATATTATGTTCTATTTGTATGTCCATGTTTCATAAGATATAATTTTATTCAAATGGATAGTTTTTTTTTTTTGTAACTTTTTGAGATATTGATATTTAGGAAATTTATGTTTAAACCTATATTTGTACACACTTAAGACTATACTCCTAGTTACATATTTAAAAAATATTTAACTTTTACATGTAAATACATTACTTTTACACGTATAATTAATATTAACATTTAAAAATATTTTTGATAATAAACATGTAACTCTCACTTTACTCGATAAAAAATAATAAAAATAAAATATTTCATGTTTTGTAAAAAATGAAAATCTATTATCACATGTAAGGTATAATTTGTGTTAGAATTTTAGTTTGTCACAATTTTATTTTTATAAGACGTTTTGGTAGGTTAAAAGAAGATGTGTATAAAATATCCTCGAGTCTAAACAAGGTGGGATTTATATGCGTACTAGAATTAATAGTTGATAAAATTAATAAATTTTTTATACCAATATCATTATTATTAAAAAAATACTATTTACATAAGAAATGTTAATTTTTCTTTTATACAATGTTTTTTTACTTATTTTTACATGTACACTACCACTTTTTACATGTACACTACCACTGCTAATAAAAGTGTTATGTAACACATGATTGCTTGATTGGCTCCAAAAAGCATTTTATTTTATCAGGCTCTGGGAGTTTGAAAGAATCTGGTATTAACCCCAGTCCTAAACAAATGCAACTGAGATGTACTACTAACACTTATCTTAGTGTTGGTAGCCACAAAGAGAACATCTCCTTCAGTGATTTGATATCCTTTTGGTGATTCTGTATTCATCACTCCTTCCCCAACTATGACCAAAAAGATGGAAGGACCTAGAACTGCAGGGAATAGTACAGTTTCCCCTTGAGGAAGAACACAAGAATCAATCTCAAATTCCTCAAATGGTGGGATATATCTGTTCACATATGGATTTATAGCAACTCCTCCCAGGATCTCAGGAAAACCCTACAAGTGTAAACAGATATGAACAAAAATTGACATCTTAGAAAAAAAGATAGAGATTTAATTACTCATTTAATATTTCCAACTATATAAACTACTTGAAAATCATCTGTTTTAATATTTATACATTCTATTTTTGTACTTACCCTATTCTATTTTTCCTTGTTAGAAAAAAAGCTCCATAGAACTATGCATTTTAAAATTAAGAAGAAAAATGAAAAGTGCAACATATCTGCATTTGCCTTAGACAAGTGACCAGGTGTAAGGATGAAATTCAAGGATTAACATGTCTTTTTAGAAAATTTGACCAATCTTACATATCAGAAATTTTGAATCAAGTGTTTGTAACCATGCCAAAGTACCAGGTGTGTGTAAGAAACTGCATATAAAATTTGTTGTTTATCATTTACCTGTTTGTATGTGAGCATGGAACAAAGAGTCTGAGCATCTCTGTGTTTTGAGGTGAGGCCAGCTCTGACTACATTGTCTGAAGTTGCCATGCATTCAATGCACTCACCATAAATGTATGCATGTGGTTCATTTGGCCCAAGGAATAAGGCTTCACTTGGAGAGAGTTTTACATGGTTAAGAAAAAAGGCTGCTATGACACCAACATCAGATGGATATTGCTTTTCCAACCTCTTCACTAATTGCTCCTTAACTGTCAACTGCCTCACTTGAGCATGCAAAATGAGAATATAATGTTGTAGTTTATTAAACACATTGGCAACATACAAAGAAATAAGACATGGATTATTGTTTCATAGCAACTTAAAGACATTAATGTATGTGCATTCCAAAATATGGTTGTAGCTGCATATTAAAGATGCCTCATTATACTATATTCAATAAATTGAAGAATTTAAGAAAAATAAGGGAAACTCAAGCAAAGAAATAAAAAATGATTGTAAATTAAGTTGTATGAGTAGTTGCTAACCATGTATGATATAAAAAATATTGAGAATCCAAATGTGAATTAAAAATCCTATAACCTAATGTCTTAAGGTATTAGATTGAAGGTGATGTCATATTCTCTTATATAATTAGCTCGTATCTCATTTATGAGAATTTTCTTATGTTAATTCCCTTAGAAATATCCATTAAAAAGACTATAAAGTAAAACCAATTAGTCTAAGTAGGTTGGTTTCCTTAGGGTCTATTTGGTTGTTTAGGGCAATAGAGGGGGGAAATTTTACTTAAACATTATGTTAAGTTGAGAGGAAGGGAGTCTTTTTCTTGTTTGGTTCAATTAGGAAGAGTAGATAATTTAAAAATTAATTAACTTTCATACCCTCATAATTTTGGATCCACCAAAGTAAATAAGGTTGTTTTTCCACTACCTTAGAAGGTCTTAAATAACTTGTTCTTCCCTCCAAATTTCCCAATATCAAAGAGGAGTGAAAATTGGATGAGGAGAGATTTTTATCTCCTTCATTTTCCTCTAAAAAAATATAGGTTAAACAATGTTTCAAGTTTGAATCTGAGTAAAAAAAAATAGAAACAGAAAGAATTTTCTCCCCATCTAAACAGAAAGCTAGTTTTCAACCAACCTAACTTTCCTTATGCAGACGACTTCTCAACCTGTTCACGACACCAATTACTCTCTCTTTACTTTCTGACATGATGTCAATGAAAGTGGCCTTCAAAATAGGTTTAACCTTCTCTTCACCATCCTCATCAGTGATTTGTAACACCAAGTTAACATTTTCAGCACCAACCAGTTCCAAAACCTCAGGGACAGTAAGCACGACCTTAAGCTCCAGAAAAAAAATAACAGCAAATTGTCACGCCCTTGTTTCTCAAACTTGGTTGCGTGCGGCCTTAGCCTCTTGTGCGCCCTTCGCAACTAGCTAAGTTAGTCTCACCTTGTTCAAGATCGTGCTTGGTGTGTGCAAGTGCTTTGGCTAGAGAAAGTGGGAAAGGATATTTAAGAGAACTTGAAGGGAAAATGCTTGTATTACTTGAGTACAAGAAAGCTCTCAAATGCTTGGATGGTTTGCATATGAGGGGGCCTCTTCTATTTATAGGCACCACCTCCTCTAAGGAATTCTCTAGATCCTTCAAGGGTCTTGGTCTTTCTATACCCTTCCACACAAATCCTACTCTTTCTACACATGTCCTAGAACCTTCTACACAACTCAAGATGATTTTTGCCCTTTCTACAAGTCTCTACAAGGTTCTAGGATATTCTTGTCCCTACTACAAATATCTACATAATTCTGGAGCCTTTTAGAAGCTTCCAGTCAAAACTAGGCCTTTCTAAAGGCTACTATATACAAGTAAATAGGCTTGATGGTGGCCTAGTGTGAAAAAAAGGCGAGCAAGACTCGAGTGCGTGCAGGGAGTGTTGCAGGGCGTTACATTCTCCCCCAGCTATTGTGGCGGCGTCCCTATCGCCTCATAATCTTTGAGGATATCTCGGAATTGCCATAAGTCTTCCTCGAATTCCCATGATGCTTCGGACGCTGGAAGTCCCTTCCACTTTATTAAGTACCGTTTCTTTGGCGGTACCCCTCGTCTCCTTACAATGTCTGATGTAAGCACCTCATCCACTTCCTTGTCAAAAGACTTGGTTGTAAGGGGCGGTGCTCTCCGTGATTGCCCTCGACTTGGATCTTCCACATCCTTCTTGTAAGGCTTTAACATGCTCACGTGGAAAACTGGATGGATTTTGAGTGTTGGTGGGAGATTGACCCGGTAAGCAACATTCCCTATCTTTTTGATCACCGGGAACGGTCCCACATATATTCGTACTAGTCCCTTGTGCAGGTTCCGAAAGGTCTTGAATTGTTGGGGCAATAACTTCACAAAGACTAGGTCGCCTTGGGAGAACTCTCGCGGATGCCTCTTTGTATCGGCCCATTTCTTCATTCTTTTACGGGCCCTCTCCAAGTATGAGCGTGCTAGGTCTGCATGTTCCTCCCAAGTTTTGATCATCTTTTCTGCCCCAGGACTCTTCCCATCCTTTGTAGGTATGACAATTGTGTGAGGAGTCAATGGTCGTCCCGTGACCACCTCAAATGGGCTTCGCCCAGTTGATTCACTCCTCTGCAAGTTATAAGAAAATTGGGCCACATCAAGCAGTTTGGCCCAGTCCCTCTGGTTAGCGCTTACAAAGTGCGTGTTTACCCTTTCGGTTTGCCCGTCGGTCTGGGGGTGGAAGCTTGTTGAGAAGTTAAGCTCGGTACCTAGGAGCTTGAAAAGTTTCGTCCAAAGTCGCCCGGTGAAACGCGAATCCCTATCACTAACAATGCTCCTTGGTAGTCCCCAATGCTTGACCACATTCTTGAAAAATCCACGGGCAGCTTCCTCGGTGGTACAGTCCTTGGTGCATGGGATAAAGGTCACGTATTTTGAAAATCGATCCACCACGACCATTATTGACCCGTATCCCTCGGACTGTGGAAGGGCACTAATGAAATCCAGCGTGATCGACTCCCATGGTCCTGCAGGTATCAATAATGGCTCGAGTAGTCCCATTGGATGCTTTTTTTCGACCTTGTCTTGTTGGCACACGAGACAGGTCCTCACATATGTTTCCACATCGTCCTTCAGTTGGGGCCAGAAGTAGTTGGACTCGAGTAAGACTATCGTCCTCCATTGCCCTGGGTGGCCTGCCCACTTGGTATCATGGCACTCCTTCATGAGACTCCGTCGTAGTCCGTCCCACTTTGGAACAAACAGACGTCGCCCTTTTGTGTAGAGTAGACCGTCCTCTACCCAAAATCGTTAGGTCTTGCCTTCCTTTGCAAGCCCCATGAGTGCCTTCGTGACGGGGTCCCGTTCGAGCCTTTCTTGAATACGGGTAAGGACATCCCTGTCAGCTTTACTAACGACAGCAAGTTCGGCCTTGTGGCTTAGAGCATCGGCCACCACGTTAGCCTTCCCCAATTTGTATTCCAACGAGTAGTCAAACTCAGCCAAAAAGTCTTGCCATCTAGCTTGCTTTGGGGAGAGTTTCTTCTGGGTCTGGAAGTAGCTAGTGGCCATGTTATCTGTGTTTTATGCCGAAGTGTGCCCCTAACAAGTAGTGGCGCCACACCCTCAAGCAATGGATGATGGTCGTCATCTCCTTTTCTTGCACCGTGTAGCGTCGCTCGGTGTCATTCAACTTTCGAACGTTATCGGGTGCCTCTCTTGCATCAATACTCCCTCAATAGCAAAGTCAGAGGCGTCAGTGTGGATCTCAAATGACTTAGTGAAGTCAGGTAATGCCAAGACAGGCTCCTGACTCACGATGGTATTGAGTTCCTCAAATGCTCTTTGACACTCATTGGTTTATTCCCACGGCTTCCCCTTCTTGAGCAAGTCGGTAAGCGGTGCGGCCCTCGTCGAGTACCCCTGTATAAACCGGCAATAATAGTTTACCAGCCCTAAGAAGGATCTTAACTCGGTAACTTTGGTGGGAGCTTCCCATTCCATGATCACCTTCACCTTTGCCCCATCCATCCGGATCTTTCCATGGCCTATGACATGTCCCAAGAAGTTCACCTCTTCTTGGGCAAAAATGCACTTGGACTCCTTAACATAAAGTTCATTCTCCCAGAGTACCTTGAATACAGTACGTAAGTGGTCAGCGTGCTCCTCGAGCGAGTTGCTATATATAACGATGTCATCCAAGTAGACCATCACAAACCGATCCAAGTACGGATGAAATATCTCGTTCATAAGCGTGCAGAATGTAGCTGGGAATTCGTGAGCCCAAAGGCATCACTAACCATTCGTATGACCCATACCGCGTAATGCACGTGGTCTTGGGTTCGTCTCCCTCGGCGATGCGAACTTGTTAGTAGCCCTTCTGTAAATCCATCTTGGTGTACACTTGGGCTCCCCCAAGTCGATCAAATAAATCAACAATCAAAGGGATGGGGTAGTGATTCTTGATAGTTACCTTGTTAAGTGTCCGGTAATCTACGCACATGCGTAGTGTTCCATCATGCTTCTTCTGAAAGAGTACCGGTGCGCCATAGGGTGTCTTGCTCGACCGAATTTTCCCTGTCTCTGTGAGATCCTTGAGCTGCTTCCTCAGTTCCTCTAGCTCAGGTGGAGACATCCGGTAAGGGGCCATGGCTGGCGACTTGGTGCCGGGCTCCAACTCAATCCTATGATCCACACCTCCCCTTGGTGGAAGCTTGCTTGGTAACTCGGCAGGCATGACGTCCTTATTCTCCTTAAGGACCTCTCGGATAAGGGAGGGCACCTCCGGGGATTCCTCCTCATAGTCATCCTCCTTTAGTACTGCCAAGTACATTGGCTCCCCTCGCTTTGCCCCCTTGGAAAGCTGCATTGCGGAGAGTTGCTTGCTAGTACTTTGGTTGTCCCCATCTATAGTCGGAACCATGCATGGAGAACCCTTCTCCAATATGCAAACAGTACTAAAGGATGACATTGGTATAGCTGTTACCTGCCGTAAGAAATCCATGCCGAGTACCACTTTGAAGTCGTCCATGGGTGCTATCGAGAAATTCACGCGTCCTTCCCATGTGCCTAGGCGCAACCCCACGTTACTGGCGATTCCCTCGAGTTGACGAGCATTGGCATTGACTGTCTTTAGCCACCCGGTTTTCTTAGACCAAGATAGTTCTAACCTTGTGGCTTCCTCCTTGGTAATGAAGTTGTGACTGACTCTTGTGTCCACCAGGGCCTTAGTCAAAGTCTCGTTAATGTGCGCTTCCACGTACATGAGCCCCTTGCTAGACATGATGCGTTCGGGTTTGGTGTTGAGGGCATTGAGGATTTGCAACGAACCTATCATCGTTGGCTCTTCCTCTTTAGACTCAGTCTCACGCTGCTCAATGATGGCCGAGAGGGAGCCTGGCTTTGGGCAATCCTTCATGGCATGTGGTCCTTTGCACACGAAGCAGCCTCCTTTAGGGACAAACGTCTGCTTCTTCTCCTCGTAGTTGCGGCGTCCGGAGTTTCGATCTTCCTTGACAAACGCTCGTTTCTGCTGTCGGAAGTCTCGGTTCTTGTTGTCCCTTTTGTCTCCCCCACCTTTGGCGGAGTATTTCTTGTCCTTCTTGGTGGCATCAGAAGATGATGATGGGCGGAACTCAATTAGTGACTCGGCTGCGACAATCGCATCATCAACGGACTTGACGCCCCGACGTTGTAACTCTTGTTTCGCCCAATGTTGGAGTCCATCCACGAAGAAGAAGAGCGAGTCTTCTTCGGTCATATTGGGAATCTGGAGCAAAAGGGTGGTAAATTCTTTGACATAGTCGCGTATGGTCCCTTTTTGCTTCAGCTCCCGTAATTTTCGTCGGGCCTCGTAGACAACATTCTCCAGGTAGAATTGTCGTTTGAGTTCTTTGACAAAGTCCTCCCATGTGTCTATCTGGCACGTACCTCGCTCGATATCACTGTGCTTCTTGCGCCACCTTAACATAGCAGTATCAGAAAGGTAAAGGGAAGCAGTCTTTACCTTGGTAGCCTCGTCCGTGAGATTTATGCCCTCGAAATATTGTTGCGTCCCTTATGCCATTATAGCCTATCAGCCTCGGACACTCCACCCTTGGTGCGGGCGTGGAGTTGCTAGCCTCCCCACTAGCAATCGCCTTCTTACAGACGGCGAGATCCTCACGCATCTCCTTGATGCTTGCTTGGAGATCCTTCACAAGGTCCTCCAGGTTATCCAAGCAGTCCTCCGTGGAGCTTTGTGCATCGAGCCCCTCTTGGACAACACCTTTGACGATCTCGATTTCCTCCAAGATGTGTGTCTCTAACGTTTTGAAGGTGAACTCGACCCTTTCGAGTTTCTCAGACATTTCCCCCACAACTTGGTTTAACGGCAAGACCTCTGCGCGAGCTCGGATTTGATCCCGACGTTTCTTGTCCTTGGTTCCGGTGGCGTGTTCCCGCCCTCGGGTTTGCTCTTCGCTTACGCCTTACCCGGACACATTATGTTCCTTCTCTCCTACCATACTTACATGGTACCGAATTTGGTAGCTCTGATACCACTTGTCACACCCTTGTTTCTCAAACTTGGTTGCGTGCGGCCTTAGTCTCTTGTGCGTCCTTCGTAACTAGCTAAGTAAGTCTCACCTTGTTCAGGATCGTGCTCGGTGTGTGCAAGTGTTTTGGCTAGAGAAAGTGGGAAAGGATATTTAAGAGAACTTGAAGGGAAAATGCTTGTATTACTTGAGTACAAGAAAGCTCTCAAATGCTTGGATGGTTTGCAAATGAGGGGGCCTCCTCTATTTATAGGCACCACCTCCTCTAAGGAATTCTCTAGATCCTTCAAGGGTCTTGGTCTTTCTAGACCCTTCCACATAAATCCTACTCTTTCTACACATGTCCTAGAACCTTCTACACAACTCAAGATGATTCTTGCCCTTTCTACAAGTCTCTACAAGGTTCTAGGATGTTCTTGTCCCTACTACAAATATCTACATAATTCTGGAGCCTTCTAGAAGCTTCTAGTCAAAACTAGGTCTTTCTAAAGGCTTCTATATACAAGTAACTAGGTTTGGTGGTGACCTAGTGTGAAAAAAAGGCGAGTAAGACTCGCGTGCGTGCGGGGAGTGTTGCAAGGCGTTACAAAATGCTAACTTAAACCAAGTGAATAACAGTAAAAAAACTCTCATCATTCTTTTACACTCTTTGCATACTCTTTGCATAATGTCAAATGAAGGTTATGTGAAATAAATAAGCAAGATTCTAAAATTTATAATGAATGGCATCAAACTACCCCTTTATAATGAACTGCTAAAAAAACACTTCCTTTACTGTCTATTAAACACAAATGATTATTATTTGATTTCTTTTCATTAGATGCTCTCATTTGTTTGGTTAGGTCTCAAGGTTGCATTCACTTGAAGGAAGCATAGAGAAAGTCAAATCAAAAGACAAATTATTTGAAGTTAATTGAAAATGGTTTGAACTTTGAACATAATGCATCATGCATAAGAAATTCATTTTATAAGTCATCATCATGACAACACTAAGCAAAATCCATGACTAAAATTCACAACCTCAACTGTATACAAGAAAGACAACACAAAAATTTCCCACAACAAAAACAATGACTAGTACTAAGTCACTTAAAAGTAAAAATCCCCTCAATACAAAGTAGTACACTTGCAAAATACTCTTTAGTTTAATGGTCATGTACTCACTGAAAAATATTTTATACTTGTCATTAAATAACAAATTATTATTAATCAGACTTTTAAGATAATTATTATATAAAACAACAAATGATATTTTTGGTATAAATTTGTTTCATACCGAGTATGCAAGACCATATTTTTGGTATAAATTTTATCTGAACTCAATCTTGTTTTAAAAGTTGTTCCCAAATATGGTTCTTTTCCTAAAATCAAAATGAAAAACGTGGAAGAATGCTGAAGAAACTTGAACTAAAAATTGCACAGCATAGAGTACCTTGAGAGTGACAAAGCCACATAGAGCCTCAAACTGTGTCACAGCCAAAGCCATCTCCGGTTTGTGATTCTCATCCTTGTAAATATTAGGATGCAACTTGTGCAAGTTCTTAGCTAGCTCTTTATCAGGGTGAGCTTGTATAGACAAGGCCTTATCCACTGACAGCACCTTCGAACAGAAACTTATCAATCTTTAGCATTTTTTTTTTATCGACAAATGACTCCACACCATTCACCATTCTAAATTCATGCGTATTCATTTAGTATTATCTACTTTTGAGTTCAAACTCGATTACTTTGTGATTTTCTCCTTATATCTTAGTGGGATAAAAAAAAATGTTTATAAACTATTCTTAATCTCAATTCTTAAACAATGCAAAATTTGTGAACATCAAACTCTATCGAGATATAAGAAGTAAAAATAAACCTAAACTCTATATTTTGTCTCACTATAATTGTCAATGTTCCATCTAGAATCAAAAGAATATTTTGGCCTCCAATAGTACGATAATATCATTGAAATCAATTATTGCATCTGAGTTTTTATTTATCCAAAATTTTGTCCCACTTTGGTCGATTAAGAAAATAGAGTGTTTATAAATTATTTTGCTAAGGTATTACTCATTTATATTAATATGCGTTTCTCTTTACTGATCCAATATTATATATATATATATATATATATATATATATAATTTATATTTTAAAATTATCATAAATAATTAAAATAACGATATAAAATTATTATTAAATTAAATGGATAAGCAAATAAAATATTTGAGTATACAATAATTAAAGATAAAAGATGATACAAGTAGATAGATAATTTTGCTAATATTGAAGAGATAATGTGTAAATAGCATTATTTTAGGAGAGTAGAAATTGAGAAAACACAAAAAAGGTAGATAAATATCATATGTGATAAATGATCATAAATATATTTTCATGTGGAGACATTCTTGTTTCTACATTGAATATTAATGTTTATTGTGGGACGACAAGTTCTATTCTACCCACTTAGTTCTTAACTCCAGATTATATTTTTATATACTCGAAAGTCTTATATTACTTTAAAGTAAATATCAATGATAATTTATATATATCATTTAGTTTTAAACTAATGAAATATTTTTTAATAATAAAATTATAAAAGATTAAAATTCTAAAACAAATGATATTTAAATGTGATAATATAAATTCTAAAAATATTATCATATATAAAACTAAAATATTATCTTTTTCATAGACAGAACATATTCTAATTTGTAAAATAAAAATAACATGCTAAATATTAAAATCAAATAAACTATTTTTTTTAAATTTAAAAATCGATCAGTTCAATTATTTTTTATTTCATTAATAATCAAACCATATCGAATTATATTAAAATTATAATAATATTACTTGACATTAATAAAACCCATTATTTTTTTTATAATTTAATATATATATATATATATTATTTAAATTAAATATAAAAATAAAATATGATTTTATAATATATTTTTGATTTAATAATTATTCTATTATAATAATTTATCAATTTAATCGTAAAAAAATATAAAATATGCTTAAATAAAATCCAAAAATATCGATTTAGTTTTGGTTTGATTTTATTTTTTTAAAATTAAAATTAAATCAAAGTAATCCGTATTTAAATTATAGGACTTTTTTTTAAATATAAAACCTAAGTTTTCTAAACGACTCCCACACCGCGAAAACCAGCAAGTATAGGTATTGAAATCATACTATACCTTAAACAAGAAAGGTAGATCACCATCCCATTTCTCCAGAACCTTTTCTCCAAGCACGTTAGGGTTCTGCAAGAGCCAAGACTTAAGGGTCACTCTCTCACAACCTTCCAAAGCAATGGAAGAGGGCCCAGACACGTGGGTGCCCATCCAAAGCTCTGCATAAGGCTCATCCTCTTCAAGCTGCGACTCTGAATTCATGCAGAATAGCTTTGCCACGAGTGAGTCTCGCCACGCCCTTCCCCACTCATACTTCTTCACACAGCAATGAAGTCTCTGAACAACCTTCTTCTTCTTCTCATCACTGTCATTCTTGTTATGGTGATGGTTTTGCACTTTGAGGATGATGATTCCATGGTAGAGGTAGGGGCGATGGTGAACGTGTCTGGTACGTCAGAAATTTGTTATGGACGTGAGAAAGAGAGAAAGAGGGTTCGGATTGCGATGACGATGATGACGAGAAAGATGTTTTGCTGGTTTTTGAAGCATTGGGAACGTTGAAAACATAGCATCAGCATGAGAGAGAAAGAGAGAGAGGGAATTTTTTCAACTTTTTCTAGAGAGTTGAAACAACTTGTCTTGGTTTATGCTCTTTATCTTGATCAAAAAATTCAGAGGAATAATTTATGATTTATGAAAATTCCGTTTAATAATGTCCGTTGAAGAACGAGTGTAAACGAGAGTGTGTAATTTGATATGCAGTATTTTGATATTCTTAGAACCAATTCTTATATTAGAAGAATTATTTATTTTAGAATTTTTATTACCATTTTATTTAGGGATAGGTGGGAGGACAGTTACTTGTTTTAATCTGTTTCTGATTATATATTATATTTTTTTATATTATTAAGATATTTAAATATATATAATTTAAATTATAAAAATTTAATTAATTAAATTTAAATTATTAATTATAATTAATTATTTTAATACATAAATATAATAATTTTTCTAATCTATCTAATAAAAATATTAATTAATAAATAAAACCTAAAATTTTATTTATATAATTAAATATATATATATATATATTTAAATATATATAAAAATAATTATTGGTAAGCTGAACTACCTACCCGTTCTTTAGTTTTATTATGTTTAATTTTATTGTTAAAAATGTCTCGATAAACTCGTAAAAATGTATTTTAATATTAAGTTTTAAGTGATTTGAAATTTATAAATGATAATATAAAATATGGGGTGCATTTAATAAAACTGAATTTGTTTTCTTACTATTTATAAAAATGTTTTTCCTTGTGTTTTTAGATATGTTTTATATGATCCATAAGAAAGTACTCTCCTTTTATTTTTTTCTAATTAGTTTCCTTAAACCACGAACCTCGATAATATTGATGGTCTTTTTATTCATTGAAATCAAAATATTTTTTTTATGTTTTTTTTTCAATATCCTCAAAACAACATAATACATTCGGTTAAAAAAAATAGCTTTCATGGTTTTGACAAAAGCTATAAGTTTAATGTAATTTACAATTGAAATTTATCAAATCATACTTTTTAATTATATTTAATAATTCAAAAATAGCTTACAAAATTTTAATTATGGTTGTTTTAGGTTGCTTTTAGTTTTAAATAATTTTTTCCTATATTTTATAAATTTTCTTTAGAATTATAATAAAAAGATATAAGATAAGGTCTTTAACACATGATATATATTTTAAGTTCATAAATATAAATCAAGTCTTATATCTTTATTAAAATATCGAACTATAGTTGGTTAGGATTAGGGATAAGACAGGATAGTAAAATGAAACATTTTTATTTGTTTGGATCTAACTTTTAAATAAAAGTTTTTGTTTTGTGAAATGTTTTTGGAGAATAATATGAAAAAATATAAAAAAAAAACTTCTAAAAAGTTAAAACAAGAAAAAAAAATCTGTAAAAGTGGGTTAAAATAGTTTTAACATTTATTTAAAAAAGATTTCAACCCCATTTTATCTAAAAAAAATTATATTTTCATATTTAAGTTAGAAACTCGTAAGCTGAAAATTTATAACCAACAACTTAAAAAAAGAAAAAAATCGTAGTTCTTTTGGATAACTTGTAATAACAAATTCTAATAGATGTTTTGATGTAAAATCTATAAATATATATAAAAGTATTTATTGGATATTAAATAAAGTATTAAATTTTTTTAAATTAGATTTTAAATAATTTTAAAGGAATATTTATTTAATGAATTCTTTTTTACATTAATGTAATATCTCATATTTTTATATTGATTAACAATAATAAATATTAAAAATTATAACTTTTTATTTATATATATTTTATAATTGATGTAAAACATCGAAAATAATTAATATAAAAGTGAAACATTAAAAAAAAAAAAACTTGTGAGGTGATGTTTTATTATTATATATTATAATAATATTTCTGTGTAGAAAAATTTTGTAACGAATTTTTTTTCGTAAACGAGTAAAATTTTTTCTTTTATATATATACAGAGAGAGGGGGAGGAGGCAGAAAAAAATTCAGCAAGTAGTTCTTCCTCTCATCCTTCTTCTTCTTTTGTATAAATTTCAAGTAACGAGACTTTACTCATGCAGGATCTGGTGAAACGGAAGAGAACTTGAATTAAGTGAGAAAGTTTCAGTAGAAATATCACACCAGGTAAGAAGTTTAATTTATTCAATATATGAAACTTAATTGTTGAATACTCTGTGAATAAGGAATAAAAGTGGAAATCTGAACATTAGAACGATTGATTTTGAAGATTTCTCATGTTTTGCAAAACTTGAAATTTTGTTGAAATTCTTGAAATTAAGGATGAATTATATGGTAAAATTGTTGTTTTCAACTTAAATTAGATATAAGTCATGTTTAATTTGAATTTGAGACTAGTTTGGTTGTCTAAAACTGAGTAATTTGAAATATGCTAAAATCTACAAATTTTGATACTGGTACTGGACGAGAAGAAGAAGAAAGGGACATGGAAGGAATTTTCGAAAATGTTCAAGGGTAAAATAGTCATTTTCGGGACATGGAAGGAATTTTTGAAAATATCCAAGGGTAAAATAGTCATTTAGGGACATACATAAAATTTTAGAAAAGATTAAGGGCAGGATAGTAATTTAATGATTTCGGAGAAAAAAAAAAGATATTTAAAATATAGAATGAAGGTAGTAGTTTTAAAGATTCAGCAATGAGTTGTGATGTGTGTGGGTCAGACTGAGTCTAAGGGTTCATGCCCAGAATCAGTCATAAGGTGTTATGTATTGGCTAGACTGAGCCGGAGGATTGGTGCCCAGAATCAGTCAAATACTATTATTTATTGACCCGAATAAGCCGTGAAGACAGGTGGTCCAGAATCCGGCAGATGTGAATAATTTTTGTTGTGTTTGAATGATATCCGGGGTGGTATAGAGTACATTAGTGTAATAATTATATTGGAGAATTCTAAATGAGGTCCCAGACTTCACTGATTGGTCGGGTCAAGTAGACTACGAGATCAGGTGAGAAGTCGATAGGGAATGACTGGTGGCGCGCTTGGAGGGGTACTCTAGTATGAGTGATGAAGGGCGCGCTCGGACATAGTTAGGGTAGACTTCCAGAAAACGTCTTAGTATATTGATAAATTGTAATTGATGATAATATATAATGATTACTCCTATATCTGTTTTATTATATAGAATGATTTAATACTTACCCCTATTTTTCCATGTAGATGAGACTGCAATGATCACTTTTATGTGGGAGCAGATCAAGAGTTGAGAGGTGAAGATGCGACTACTAGACAGTAGGGATAGTTCAGTGATGTAACTTTGTGGGAACTACTTTTGTATGTATCTATATAAATAAATTATGTTACTATGTTTTGAGGTTCCACCAATGAATTGAGATTTCAGTCTATGTTACAATTACAATAATATAATGTAATATAAATGTTGTTATTTACTTGTTTACTATTTTACGAAGGTATCATTATAATAGTGATTTGTAGGATCGTTATAAAATCTCTCTAAATAATATTTCAAGATAATTATTTTTAAAAAATAAACCTAAATATATAAATTAAGAATAAAAAGTCGTTGACGAAACCATCATATCATATCATGATGTACATAATTTTGTTACATACATCTTCTATAGGATTTTAATGTCTAAAAAATCTATCCAAAATAAAATCTTACCAAATAAATAACTCTTTAATTAATTTAATACTTATTTTTAGGTTTAGAAATATACTTCAATTAATTTTAATATTTTGATTAGTTGGAGAATAATTAGTTGTATATTCATCTTAACTTATTTTTATTAATGAAAAATATATTTCAAGTTCTTATATGTCAATATTTTGTTCTTAATAAATTAAAAAAAATATAAATTATTCTTAACTTCAACTTCATACTGTTTTCTTTTTTTCTCAAAAATAAAAAAAATAAAAATACTAATTAAAAAAATTCAAAATTTAGTTAAAAGTAACGAAGATATTGTTTTAATATCTCTTATATCTAATGTCTTAATAACGTAAGCTAGCATTATATAGTTAGTCTTAATGTTATTTTATCATGTTTTACTTAAAATATTTATTTTATATATATCTTATTTTCTTCTAAATGAAAGAACAAATTTTTTATTTGCATTTCTTCTATTTTTTTCAACTGAAAATTAGAAATGATCTAATTATATATTATTTTATCCTTTTTAATCTATTTTTTCTTAAAACAGTAAACATGTTTGGATTGGATGAGAGTGAATTATTGTTATTTATTAAATTTATTAAATAATTTTTTGTATTTAAATTCAAACGAGAAAAAAAGAGGGTAGTGAAGATATCTGAAACGCGGGGAAGGAAGAGGGCAATGGAAGTGAAACGAAGGTAGACAAAATTGAGAAAAAAGTTCGATCAATTTAGGGTTAGGGTTTTGATACGCATCAAACAGAGTCACCCAAATCCAACATAGATTCCCCAAATTGGTGAAACCACACACCACTGCGTTGCTAGGTTTACCCTACTCTCAAACTCCTCCCAGTCAATTTTGCGTTTTCTTCGCTATTTTAGGTATGCATCTTTGAAATTTAGAACTGGGGGACTTTTTTGAGCATAGGTGATTCAATATATGCGAGTGGTTGTTCTTCAAATTCTTTAACTCTCTCTGTTTTCGGCCCCCGAATTTAATTTTTTACTCTGGGGTTTTGAAATTATTCTATTCAGTGCTCTTGTGTACTGGTTGTGTTGACATGTGATAAGGCATTTAAATTTTTGCATTGTGTGTGTATTGGTTGTGTTAATAGGTGATGAGGCATTTGAAGTTGTGCATTTTGGTTTTGTATTGGTTGTTTTGGTAGTTGATACAACTTCTGAATTTTCACATTGTGTGTGTGGGGTATGGTGTTAGCTTCACAGGGATTAAGACACTGTCACCTGTGGTTTCAAACCCAGGGATAGAAAATCGTGGTGGCCTTGGAAGACTCAAACACAGTGGAAATGTTGGGGGAATGAGTAGATGAGTGGAAATGAGTAGATTGTCTTTCAGGCCTCGACCACTTGACATTCACAAGAAGCTACCCATTGTCAAGTCCATCAAGGACTTTGAAGACGATGAGGCACCTGCTTCTACCCGGAATTCCCAATTGCTACGTGCTGTTCCTGAGGTTGAACATGAGGTATGGACTGTTTGTGGTGTTTTTGTTTTCCAGTTATTCTGTTGGTTTACTTTTTGGTGCATGCTGCTTTGTTTGAATTGTTTAAATCTGAGTGTTTATCGCTCATTTATATCATTGTTCCAGTAGTTTCCAGCTACATGTTAGAATGTACTCAGCGTCAAGGCAATGACTGTTGCACTCTATCTCACAAGCACTTCCCCTTGTACAAATAGGAAAGATGTTCATCATGTTAACCCACATGATCTGTATTTAATTTATTAAGTCATTATTATCCTGATACCATCTATGATAAGCAAGTTTAAATATTTTGCAGATTAGAAGCCTGGGTAGTTGAAATGTCAAATATATAGAGAATGATCATGGATGTTGCTCCTGTATCAAAAACTGATTGTAGAAAAGGAACCAGTTGATAATGTGTTATGTGTTTTGTTATATTGTTGCTTTTATGAGTAATTTCTATTCATTATTGTTAGGTACATCATCAAACTCCCAGCAAGAAATTGGCTGCGGAAATACCTACTCCTCAGTTTGTTATTGTGGATACATATGAAAGGGACTATTCTTGCACTTTTGCTCAACCAACTTCCTATTTGCGGGCAAGAGGAGGTACTGCCACATTGTACATTAGGTTATATTAGAAATAATTTTGTAAGGTTCTCTTGTAAATTTCAATTCTTATATTGAAAGTTCTTTCATTCATTGCAGCTCGTGCGGAGATTGGAGAGTTTGTTGAGTATGACTTAGATAATGAAGATGAGGATTGGCTTTTCGAGTTTAATGAAGAGAGGAAGATTTTGGCACCTGAAATGTAACCTTTTGTTCTAATTTATGGCTTGATTCTTTTAATTTATTTATTTGTGGTTCATAGTGGTTGGTTTCAGTTTAATGGTATTCATCTTTATTTGATGTTGCAACAGTAGAGTTTTAGGCATTGAAGGATATAATAGAGAGAATAAAGACAATTTAGGCCCAAAGAAATGAACAGATACCTTCGTCCTTTCTCTCCCTCAGAATTAGTATCACAAAGACAATTTGAAACCAAATTAGAGTACTTATTGTTGTAGACAAACCAATGTAAACCAAAACAGATAAATAGGTTCTGTAAAAACGAACAAGCCCAAAAATAGAGGTTAGGGCAAGAACAAATTAAAAAGTGAGAGCGGTTATCAAACAAGAGGGGTATAGGAAATGCAGCTGCCAAACAACCAAACCGCAGGGGCAAAACAGGACAAGTGTGTCCACCAAACAACCAAACAACAAAAGGATGCAGCCAACCAAACCAAACAAAAGCAAATAGGAAATGGGACACACACCCAAACGGAGGACCCATCAAATGAGGTCAAAAGCAAAGTAGGGGGAGCCAAACAAAACTAGAAATAGCTAGATGATGTCGACTTATTCCTTAGTCAATCAAAAGTAACGAGTAAGAAGAGAGAGAAAATGATGAAACAAGAGTTGAATAGTGCTTGGCAAAGAAGTATAGCCAACTAAAAGCTAAAGGGAGCAAAAGGTCAGAAGATATCATAGGGTTGATATCACAAGAGAGACAAATCATAGAGGATCGTACTACTTTGATACCTTGTTGAAATTATGGAATTTTTTGCATTGAAGGATAGAACAGAGAGAAGAGAAAGTTTGTATAAAATTCTATTATATGATGAAATGTATTACAATGTATTGATGTGTTTGATATGTTCATAAAATTTATACTGCTAATTCATAGTTCTCTAATTAGGGAAACATGTCATGATAAGATAAGGACAAATGGTAACTAATGCTAAGAGAAAATGAAGAAACAGGGAAGCTAAACCTAGAGGATAAATTAAGATATTCTAAGATATAATCAAATATTGCCATGTGTTCCAACATATTTCTGCTGCTTTTTTGTTTTTTCATTTTTTTGTCTTTTGCATTATGTATTCTAGAACTCTTAAAATTATGGTACCCTATTGATCATGGTTTAGTTGAATTTGTTAACTATCATTTCTTTTGCAACGCATTATCTTGTTTATTGTATTTATAAGCAGATTTAGGGTGGGTTTGAAAAAGCATATTTACGACATATGTAGGTTTATTTTATGGCATAAGCACTTGTGTAAGTGTTTGTTAGAGTTTATGGATATGGTTATTATATGTCCATAAGCTGTTTTCGGCTTATTTCAACAGGCTTTCCAGGATAACATATGAAAACAACTTAGAACTTAATACTTATATGAAAACAGTTTAACCCTATTTCTTCTTTGATTATACAAACAACTTATATATAAGCACTTACTTGATAAATACTTATTCAACAAGGTGCTTAATTAAATTATTTATCCAGATGCACCCTTAGAAATTTTAAAGAAAATAGTATTATTTTAAAGAGAGGCAGAAGCAAGAAATGTGAATCCTACACATGTAAAGTGGTTGTTTAGGGTTAAGACATTCAAACTAATGATACTTTTAGTGTTTAAATGTGGTTCTGTTTAATTTTGAATTTGGCTTAACATTTCACCTACTTAAAAGTCTTGTGTTGCTGCCTAACAAGTATTTTTTTTTCTGCTGTTTGGTTTGCTTAATTCTTATTCCATTGTGTTTTTGGTTGTTTTCTTTGTCATGTCATCCTGCACTGTTTATATAAGATCTGCATCATATATGCCACACTTTACTTTTCCATTAAATTTATTTGGTGGATAGGTTTGAGAATCTTCTTTTCAAGTTGGAGGTATTGGATCATAAAGCTCGTGAAAGAGCTGGACTTATAACACCTACCCTTGGTTCACCAATTCCTGTGCAACTACGGCTTGATACTGCGATTGAGGTCAATTTTTTTTTTTGATACCTACCCTTGGTCTTATGCAGCATGATAAAAAAGGATTATTTTGAAAAATAGTTAGCAATACACTCCAAAATATAAAAACACCCAACCTTCATAAGACATTAGGTTTTGGGTGAAATTCACAAACCATTAATATAGTGTGAAATGAAGGAAGGAGTTGATTGACTATATGTTTTAAAGAGAATGTCCTTTATATTTGAAAAGCCTAAATTTATTGAATGTGATAGAAATCTTTGACTATATGCTAAAACCTAAAATGCTAGGATCTGGAGCAAATTTGTGCTTCAGTGGTGCATCTTGAACTTTGTTAGAGCTTTTGATATGCCATACTGGTTTGTAATATTGAGATTATCAAAGATAAATAAAATTTTATTGCATATTCTCTTCCAATTTGGGATTGATCATTGATGGGCATTCATGATCAAGAAGAACAAAAATGTTATATGTCAATGCCTTTTTTGGAATTCAAGAGCCTAGTCTATCCCACCCAAAATTAGCCAACCAGCTAATTTCATCCTCTTAAAATGTTTTATTTTAATTTTTTATTTATCTACCCATATTTAGGGTTAGGGTTGGGGCAAGAGCCCAATCTCTCTTTTGTACTCTCCTCATACATAACTATAACATATCAGTGTCATAGAACACTGACAAATCTTTGGTCTAAAAATGACCAAACGGATGTTTTTTCAATTGACTAATCTTAGTGGAATCGTTGTCTGTAAAAACAGTATCATTAACATAAACCATAAGATCAACACATTTCCCTGAAGAAGTATGATAATAAAACATTGAATGGTCTACCTCTCTCCTTTTCATGCCAAAAATTTGCATAATGTGACTGAATTTACCAAATCAAGCTTTGGGAGATTGCTTCAAGCCATAAAGAGACCAACGTAGTTTACATTCTAAATCAAACTCCCTCTGAGTAACAAACCTAATAGGTTGTTCCTTATAAATCTCTTCTTTAAAGTCACCATGAAGAAAGACATTCTTAATGTCAAGTTGATGAAGTGACCAATGACAAATAACAACCATAGCAAGAAAGAGCCAAAAATGAAAATCTTAGCTATAGGAGAAAATGTATCACATTATTCAAGACCATAAATCTGAGTATAACTTTTGGTTACTAAGCAAGCTTTGAGACGATCTATTTCACCATTAGGAACCACCTTAATTGCATAGATCTATCTACAACCCACAGTCTTCTTACCAAGAGGAAGAAGAATCAATTCCCAAGTGCCACTATGTTCAAGAGCCTGTATTTCATTAAATTATGGCTTGCCAATATCCAAGATGATCAAGCGCACCGTAAACAATATTAGGAATAGAAGTAATGAACAAGGAAAGAGCAAAAGAAGAATATGAAGGAGACAAATGATGGTAGCTTAAAAATTATAAATATCTTTTCTGAGAGCAATATGTCAACTAAATGTAGAATTAGAAGTTGAGGGTGAGGCGGACAAATCCATGGTATGGGAATCTAAATCACGAGGATCTTTAGGTACAAGCAAAGAAGCAGGTGGATCAATGTTAGACTTCACTATGACCTTTCCCACCTAATCTTCCCTTAGTCCATATAGGCGGGGTATAGGAGAAGCCCTAGAACTATGTTGGAAGCTTCATTCAGATCGATTTTAGTCATCGCTACGCCACATCAATTTGTTATGGCTTGACCTTCTTAGTAGCTATGGATTCTCCAGGTAGACATATTTGTTATGTCTTTCGAAGGGGATTCACTGGGGAGAAACAACACCAATAAGACATGAACCCAACCCGCATAAAGAATTAACACCACCTTCAAATCAAAATCTTAAGGCATTGGGTTATGGGTCTTTCTTTCTTATTTGTTGCTCAACTTCCTCATTCTTATTCCATGTAGGACTTAGACTCACTATTGAATTTCCCAACATTCTTCCCCTTAAGTGTGGGTCCCATCACATTGGTACATCGCCTCAAGCTCACTGGTGACCCTTTCTTGGACCATTGTTCATCGTAACAAGACACACTACCTAATCCATTATTAGGAAAACTTTCGATGTAGGGACCATTCTTAAACGGTCAGTCACCACACAAACCATCGACTCTAATACCACTATTTGGTCTTTCAAGGGGGATTCACTGAGGAGAAACAACACCAATGAGATATGAGTCCAACTCACATAAGGGATTGACACTACCTTTAACCTGAAACCTTAAGGCATTGAGTTATGGTCTTTCCTTCTTATATGTTGCTCAACTTTCTCGTTCTTACTCAATGCGAAACTTAGACTCACTCTTGGGTTTCTCAACAATATTTGCATGGAAATACATTAGTTAGACGAGTATGAGTGTATGTACCCCGATTTGCACCAAGATTTCTGTGTCGGGCATGGAGAGAGCTCCGAGGATTGACCTGCTCTACAATCCTAATTCATCGTCATTAGGCTATTCTCTCGAAAGAAGAGTGATAGAAGTGAAGGTGAAGGGCATGTATTATAAGTGGATCACATGAGGATATAGAGAGAATGTTGAATAGGAGTAATATTTTCCATGGAGGATGTAAAGAAAGGTGTGTCCTTAAAGAATGTAACATTAGCAAACATATAATATCTTTTAGTTGAAGAAGAATAACATTTATACTCTTTTTGAAGACAAGAATATCCAAGAAAGCACATTTAATTGCCTTTACAATGAGTTTATCAAGACCTGAAGAGACATTATGAACAAAATAGGTATATCGAAATACATGTGGAGAGATATTATGAACAAAATAGGTACATCCAAATACACGTGAAGAGACATTATGAATAGAATAAGTACATCTAAATACACATGGAGAGACATGATAAAGAGGATCATGCGGAAAAATAACATATTGAGGAATTTGATTCTTAAGAAGAGGACATCCTATGAATTAGAAAACAAGCAGTGAGAACTACATCTCCCCAATGATGAATAGGAACATTAACATTCAACATTAAAGAGAGTGCAATTTCGATAAGGTGTGAGGACATGTGAATTGATGTAAAATTCGTTAAGAAGATAAAAATAAAGAAAATGCAACAAAAAAATATTCTTTAGCATTATCACTTTTGAGACTTTTAATTATTTCCCTAATCGGTTTTTAATCTCATTAATATAATACATAAATATGGATAAAAGTTCATATCTGTCTTTCATTAAGTAAACCCAAATACATTTAGAAAATTCTCAATGAAGGTTACAAAATATTGAAAACCAACGGGGGTAACACAACTCAACCCCTAATATCAAAATGAATGGTGGAAAAAAAAAATTACATTGTGTTTTAGACTATTTAGGAAATGTAAGCTTGTTTTTCTAATTAACAAGTTTCACATTCTAACCTGAAGCTGTGTGAGATTAGGAAGTATAATTTTCAACTTTGATAAACTTTGTTGGCCCAAACAATCATGTAAAAGTTTCGGAGCAAGAGTAGCAAAATACAACAGAAATGGGGTTGGATTCAAGTAATAAAGACCTTGTGATTTATATCCTTCTCCAATTAGACAACCTGGACCATGTTTTTGAATTACAAGAATTTGAAATAAAGATTACAAAAACAATTCAGAGAGCGAGTCAATTAACTTAGAGAAATCAAGTTATAAGGGTAATTAGGAATGAAAAGTATGAAGTTTAAATTTAGTGAAAGAGATAAAGGAACTTGGCCAACTCCTTGAGATGCCACTTTGGATCCATTAGCCATAGTAACCAAGTGAGAAATTTTAGGATAAAACATGAAGGAAAATTAAGAACTATTACCAGAAATATGATGTGAGGCACTTGAATCAAGAATCCATAGGATCTTTTACAGATTGAGAAATACATGTTGAAACACTTGGCATTGAAGAAGATTAACCATGATTTGAATTTTTTAGATTTAAACCTAAAAAATTCTTGGCACTCTTCATTAGAAATCATAAAATTTGATTTTTGAGTTTTAAAAAAATATAATTTTACAAATTTAGAAACATGAGCAACTTTGTCATAAAATCCATACAATCAATAACAATTTTCTTACGTATGACCCATTCTCTTGCAATAAGAGCATTGAAGACATTCACTTTTATCACCCCATCCTCCTTGAATATTGTGTCCTCCCATTCGTCCACGAGGTACAACCATCGTTGATGTTTCAATAGCTTCAACATGATTCTCATCTTTCATTAAGTTGGGTACATGAATAATTCTAGTGAGTAAACTGTCAATTGAAGGAAACTAATTACCGCTAAGGTTTGATCACGTACATGATCATAATCATAATCAAAATGTAAACTTCTCAATATCAAGATCATATACAACTTGTCAAGTTTGTTATTAAGTTCTTCCTAGATGTTTGCCTCTAGAAACTTCTTCACATCTTCTGCAACATGAGATACCATATCGTGGTTGGTTTGTTCGAGAGAAATTGCTCTTTGAGTTGCATTGAAGAGACGTTGAATAACATTTGTAAAGATATCTTGTGCTTTCTTCCAAAAGAAAGAACATATCTTGAAGGATCTGAGATTTTCTAAAACTTTCGGTTCAACTAACTGTCATAAAATTGCAAAGAGTTGAAAGTCAATATTTTGCCATTGAGTTCTTTCTGAACTAGAAATGGAGCTAGCTTCGGTCTCCAATTGGTCATAATACCTTGACCTAAGAACTACAACTTCACAGAGGCAGAACAGGGTAAATAATTTTTCCAATTGAGCTTAGCATTGGTAATAGTAGGAGTGGATGAAAAAGAAGAGCTGACTATATACATCTGAAACAAAGAAAATATGGTAGGAAAATCCTAATTAGGGGAGGGAAGCACAAGACCCATCCCTTAAGGATGTTAAAACAGAAAAATAAGGCAACATTGGAGGTAGAACGCATCAATGAGATAAACAATGGTGCCTTGATGCGATTCTGGTCATTGAAAGGTGGTGTGTGAGACTCACGTTTGAGATGGATTGTGATTTAACTAACGCTTGAGAGCATGTGCGGAAGCAGATGGCATTGCAGTTGATAGTCTTGGGTTGTGCTCCTCGAGGAGCACTAAACCTTGGCTTTGCAGGTTAGAAGAGTGTCGATTAATGATGGCGACAATGGGGGACAATGTTGGAGGTGACAAATGATGACCCTAGATTGTTAGAGATAATTAGTGACACAAAAAATTAGTGTGGGATCTTACTTGCTCTGATACCAACTTGAGAGAAATGTTTAAGGGGAAAAGATAGTGTCAACGGTCATTCTTTCTAATATATTTATATATGAGAGAGAATTCAAAAAGAGGTTTGACCTTAGCCCAAATCCTAATCTTATACCTAGGAACTTACATAAGAAAAATTAGAAATAAAACCTATCTTAATACTTTTATCTTAAAATATTTCTCTTCAGTTGGTGTTAAAGTGGGTTAGATCCTGCTCTACTCTCCTTTTGTCAATTTCATGTCCAACCATCAACCGCCCCCATTACTTTATTAACCAATGCTAATATGATTAGCATAGTTAGTGTTAGATGCGCCTTGAAGAGTGCAATTCAACTTTGGTGGTTGTGACACCATTTGCCACCACACGAGTCCACATGTGCCTATCAATACGTGAATTGTCTTTAGCGTGTGGGCCTTAGGGTCCAGCCTCTTGTGGCAAAATCCCTCTGCATTTTTGCCTTTCATCTTGTTGGCGTGTTTTGGCTCCATTACTGCCCTTGTCTATGTTTCAAGGTCCATGAAGGTTGAGTCTTGTGTCCCTCTTGCATTCTTTGATTTAGTTGTTTCTTTTCTATTTGAGATGATTTTAGAAAGCTCTATTTCTTCCCTTTTGGCTGCACTTACTATTACAAGTGCAAAACTTAACTAGAAAATTATTTGTCTTGGTATGGTTATGTGGAGCTATGTACCTTGGTCAAGGGTATAATGATCATTTGAAATCTGAAGTTAGTTCTATTTCTAATTCAGAGACCTCAATGGCAAAAGACTTATTTTCAATTATGTGATTTATGGCAATCAATTGAACTTGAGGTATTCGAGATTTTCAGATCTTTCAAGACATTGTTTTTAGAAGGAAACACAATATTTTTGCAAATGATATTCAATGTATTTTTTATGCAATATAGAGTAGCTTTCCTCAAAAAGACCAAACATGACATGGTTCTCATGTTGCAAAAGTTAGAGCTGCTGTGAAAGAAGTTAAAAGGTTTATAATGACTAGCACATTGGAGGACCTTAACAAGAAACTATAAATTGTATATGATCATAATTTTAAAAAGTCTACTTTCAGATTTTGATCATGTATGCAATCAATTTTTGGCTTGTGATTTGGTTCTTTTGATGGATCGTTTAGTCACTAGACTCATCTGGGTGCCTAACAAAAAGAGAGGTTGAACTCTTTCCTCAACCTAACTCTATATATGAGTATTGTTAGATATTGTTTGATATTGTTAATCACAATATCAAACAATATCTTCTGTTTATTTTATTTATTTTCAGTTACTCTTTTAGTTGTACCTCTCTTTATTATAAATAGATTATCCTATGTGTGGTTTATACACAAAGGAGATTAATCTCAAACCCTATTTTCTCTATATTCAACATGATATCTAGAGCTTAAGGTTAATTTGAATTTTTTTTTCACCTTTGTCCACTACTGGAGCCACCACCGCCACCGTTGTCGCCGTCGGTTAAACTGATCTTCTACATCAGAAAAGAGTTATCTTTATTACTAGATATTATTTGGTAGTGTGAAATAGCATGTTTAGGAAGGTTCTGACAAGAAAAGACTTAGTATTTAAGTTTGTCCATTAATGACCCACCTCTCTTTCTTGAGAACTTACCTGATGTACTGGTTCACGCCGCTGTCACCACTTCCGCCGCTGCCGCCGCCAGAGTTTTATTTTTGATCGGCGACATACAGTTTTGCTTATCTTGGTCAGGCGACTATTGTGCCATTAAGATCACCACTATTAGAGTTGGTTGTCCGTTGTCTTCTGCGCCGTTTAGTCTTGACGAACTTGTTTTGGCCTTCTCATTTTTTATCTGTGCTTCGTAGGTTGATTGGATTACTTTGGATTTTTTAGGGTTTATTCTCCTGCCCTTCATGACTTCTTCCACTCCTTCTACTACTTTCAATTCTGCTAATGATTCTTCTGCGTTGACATCTCATCGTGATGACCGGATTCGCCCTCGCAAACAGGGAAAATGGCGTCCTAAGTGTGAATATTGTGACAAACTAGATCACAAGATTAACAAGTGTTCCACTATGTCTGTCGCACATACAGGTGCATATTTTGCTAGTTTGACCCAATCCTCTTCTCCTAGTCCTTGGATTTTTAATTCAGAAGTTACTGATTATATTACTGGTAACAAATCTTTGTTCTCCTCTTTATCCTCTCCTAATCCTTTACCTTCTGTTACACTGGCTGATGACTTTAGAGTATCATCTCATGGTGTTTGAACTATTAAATTTTTCTCTTCTTTAACCATTGATAATATTCTTTATGTCCCTGAGTCTCCTTTTAACCTGTTGTCCATCAGTTGTCTAACTCGTTCTCATGATTGTGTTGTTTCTTTCACCAACAATTTTGTGTTTACAAGATTGGAGTTCGAAACAGGTGATTGACATAGGATGTGAGTCTCATGATTTTTATCATCTTCGTCCATCTACACATGTTGGTGCAGTTATGAAGTCTCATTCTCTTCTTCATGCTCAATTAGGTCATCCAAGTCTTGCCAAGTTACAAAAGTTTGTCTCTGTCTTGTCCAACTTGTCTAGTTTGGCGTGTGAGTCGTGTCAATTAGGTAAGCATAGTCATATTTCCTTTTCTCGTAGTGTCACACGTGGTGTTTCGTCCCCTTTTGTAGTGGTTCACTCTGACATTTGGGGACCTAGCCGCATTAAGTCTACTTTAGGTTTTTAATACTTTGTTATTTTGATTGATGATTATTTTAGATGCACTTGATTATTTTTGATAAAAAATCGTTCTGAATTATTTCATATATTTCAAACTTTTTTTAATGAAATTCAAACTCAGTTCGGTGTTTCTATTAGAGTTTTGCGTAGTGATAATGACCGTGAATATCTTTCTCATTCTTTTAAACAATTCATGACTTCTCACGGTATTTTGCATCAAACTTTTTGTGTTTATACACCTCAACAAAATGATGTAGCTAAATATAAAAATGGACATCTTATTGAAACAATTCACACTCTTTTAATTCATGGGGAGGTACCTCAACATTTTCGGGGTGATGCTCTTCTTACTGCATATTATCTCGTTAATCGCATGCCTTCTTCGGTTTTAGATAATAAAATACCTCATTCCATTTTATTTCCTCATGAACCTCTTCATCTCTTACCTCTAAGAGTTTTTGGGTCTACATGTTTTGTTCATAATTTAAGTCCTGGTCTTGACAAACTTTCTCCTAGATCACATAAATGTGTTTTCTTAGGGTTTACAAGATTACAAAAAGGATACAAATGTTTTTCTCCTTCTCTTAATCGTTATTTTGTGTTTGCAGATGTCACCTTTGATGAGTTCTCTCTTTATTTTAAAAGTCAATCTTCACCTCTGTCTCTATCCAATCGTGTTTATACACCTAGTACATTTAATGTTCCTGTTTGTGACTCTCTAACTGTGTCTTCTTCACCATTAGTTCCTGCTCTGCAGTCAGCTTCTTCTCCACCGCCTCTTCAGGTTTATAGTCGCTGAAACCAATCACAACCACCATCATGTGACTCCACTCGAGTGCAACTATTTTGTCTCCTCCGAATATGACACCTGAGTCTAACCTTCCCATTGCCCTCCGAAAATGTATCCGTTCTACACGTAATCCCTCTCTCCATTATATTGCTTTTAGTTATCATCGACTGTCATTACCTTTTTTATACATGTCTTTCCTCTATTTCTCCTGTGACCATTCCAAAAATTGTCCGTGAAGCTTTAGTCCATCCTAGTTGGCGTCAATGAACTAAGTGTTCTTCATAATAGTGGAACTTGAAAATTGGTCCCGTTACCGTCAGGAAAATCTGTTGTTGGTTGTAGGTGGGTGTTTGCTATCAAAGTTAGACCTGATAGTACTATTGATCGCCTCAAAGCTTGTCTTGTGGCCAAAAGTTATATTCAAATTTTTGGGTTGGATTATGGAGATACCTTTTCCCCCATGGCAAAGATCACTTTTGTTCGTTTATTTATTGCCATGACTGCTCTTCAATAATGGTCTCTTTATCAATTGAATGTTAAAAACGCTTTCTTCAATTGTGATTTGCAAGAAGAAATCTATATGGAGCAACCTCCTGGGTTTGTTACTCAGGGGGAGTCTTCTGGGATGATATGTCGTCTTTACAAATCCCTATATGGCCTAAAACAGTCTCCTAGAGCCTGGTTTGGAAAGTTTAGCAAGAGTGTTCTATAATTTGGTATGACTCGGTGTGAAGCAGATCATTTTGTCTTTCATCGACACTTGAGTGTTGGATGTGTTTACTTGATAGTATATGTTGATGACATCGTTCTTACATGTAGTGACAATCATGACATCTCTCAGTTGAAACAACATATCTGTCACCATTTTCAGACCAAAGATCTTGGCAAATTTAGATATTTCTTCAATATTAATGTGACACAGTCCAATGATGGTATTGTTATATCTCAGAGGAAGTGCCATGAATATTTTGGAGGAAACTGGGTTGATGAGTTCAAAGTTTGTTGAAACATCCATAGATCCCAATATTAAACTTCTATCAAATCAGAGGAGCCTATATTTGATCATGAGCAGTATAGAAGATTGATTTAAAAATTGAATTATGTTACAGTTACTCGTCCTGACATTTCCGTTGCAGTCAGTGTGGTAAGCCAATTTCTTAATTCCCCATGTGAAGATCATTGACATACAGTCATTCGTATCTTGAAGTATATTAAAGGATCTTATGGAAAATGATTGTTATATGGTTCTAATAACTATACAAGAGTTATTTGCTACTTAGATGCTGATTGGGCAGGATCTCCTTCGGATAGAAGATCTACATTTGGGTATTGTGTCTCCATTGGTGGTAACTTGATCTTGTGGAAAAGTAAGAAACAGAGTGTTGTGGCAAGATCTAGTGCAGAAGCAGAATATAGAGTTATAGTCTCAGTGTCTTGTGAACTTGTTTGGATCAAACAATTGCTTAGAGAGTTACAATTTGGAGATGTCACTCAAATGACACTTGTGTGTGACAATTAGGTTGCTCTTCATATTAGTTCTAATCCTCTCTTTTATGAGAGGACCAAACACATTGAGATTGACTGTCATTTCATTCGAGAAAAGATTATGTCTGGAGACATCAAAACTGAGATTGTTAATTCAAGTGATCAATTAGCAGATATTTTTACTAAGTCTTTACGGGGCCTAAAATTGATTATATTTATAACAAGCGCGGCATATATGATTTGTATGTTCCGGCTTGAGGGGAGTGTTAGATATTATTAAGATATTGTTAACCACAGTATCAAACAATATTTTCTGTTTATTCTGTTTATTTTCAGTTACTCTTTTAGTTGTACCCCTCTTTATTATAAATAAATTACCATATGTGTGATTTATACATATTGGAGATTATCTCAAATCCTATTTCTTCTATATTCAACAAGTACATTCATAAAAAATTTAAAACAAAACATATTATAACATTTTTCTTTGGTTGATGAGTTAAGGGCTATGTTGGAAAGTCGTTTTATTGGTAACCACCCCTGCTTACTTGCCTTACTTGCAGTCTATTTGGTTTGCCTTTATTGCAGTCTCCAGCACCTTCATTGTGCTTGGTGAGAGGGTGTTTGTAGTCCCACTTCATTTATAGATATAGCTGAAGTAATACTTGTAAGATTTGATTAGTCTTTAACTTACAAGTCAGTTTAGTAAGTTAAAATTAGAGCTAAAGTCTAATTTTAATATTAGAGTCTGTCCTATAGACTCACTATTGGAACACTTGCTTTGTCCATACTCTATGCCCGTAGCCTTGGTCTGCCTTCATTGTGCTGGGTGTGTAGGGTATGATTGATCTCATAAGAGGCTAAACCCACCCCTTTTAGCTGCAGTCCATTTAATTAAGAAGCATGGAAGTGATGATGGTCTAATACTTGGTTGAAGGGGCTTTGCTCATCTGTCTAAAACCAACTCTTTTTATGTGGAGGACTAGTTGACCTTATCTTAACAATGTTTAACCTGTGCATGTAATGAAAGTGGACTAGATTCTTCTTCCAAGATGGTTATACACTGGTTTCCAAACCTAAAATCTCAACATTCTTGTAAAGACAAATCATGGATATTTACTGTTATTTATGTGTTTTTCTTTCACGGATCTGAGTGCAAAAAGTAACATTTTATGCAAATGAAGGTGGTGTTGTTTTTAGGGATAATTTTATTTGTGGATATGTTTGTACAGTATTGTTGTTAGATGAACACCACAGCATGATTTAATAGTCTTGTTTTTAACCTGATGTGACATGATACAGACCAATTATTGATTTTCTTCAAAGATTTCCATACTTCGGTTATTATCTATTAATTTATTGTTCTTGGTATGTAGGAGCATCAAATTTCAGAATGCATTTGGTATCATTGTTCTGGAATGCAAATATTATATTACTTTGCATATGTGGTGTATACGATTCTTGTTGAGCTTATCAAAAGTTATCTCCTTTAAATGCTAGGCCTTACAAGCGCAGGGCTTCAAATATCCACTTATCCAGTCCGTATATGATTATTGGAAAGATAAGGTATGGAATCAGCATCATGTTATTATTTTTAATATAAGGGGCATGTCCTTTTTTTTTTTTTTTTTATCTACATACAACTTTGTGAATTTTAGAGAGAAAGAATTAAACTGAGAATGGAGTTTTTCAATTCATTCAACTCACTGAAACAGAATACCGAGGGAGCATTTGTAGTAGCTGCCCTCATTGGTGTACAAAGGCTGATAACAGGCTAACAAACTTTTACAGCTGGCAACGAAGAATATTCTGTTTTATATCAGGACGAATTAAAACTGAATGAAAAATGTAATATTTTTCATATTATACTCTAATACCCCTCTCAAACTCAAGTGAAGATTTTTAAGACAAATCCTTCTCATTTGCCTTTAAGCATGTCAAGTCTGGTTGGAGAGATAGAGGCTTGGTAGCACTTCTGCCCATCAATCCAAAGCTGAAATGTGGTAAATCAGAAGTTGTTTGGATGGAACTTTTACTCGGGAAAAAAATACATCAATGTCTGCATGTATTTAGTCTGACTGAAAGACAGGATTTAGAGTAATAGCTACTGCACTTTGATTATCCCAGAGCAGATCAGGAACAAAGAAAGGGACTTGAAGTTCCAGTAACAGAGGTTTAATCCAGGTTAACTCTGCTGAAGGCCCGAGCTAACTGTGATACTCAGCCCGAGTGCTGGATCTAGCAGTAACCTGTTGTTTCCTTGATCACTAAGAAATCAAGTTAGGTCCCAATTTAATGGAATTATGACGTTCTCATTACAAGTGGTTAGAAGAACCAGAGGTACATCTTCTGTGATCAAAATCAGAAACCCAGTAAACATCACACAGAAGTGAGTTAGGTTTGCCAACAGCAGCTGGTTGCATGTGAAGACCATGAGAGAGAAAGAGTGCCAATCGTAGGGATTTGCCATGAACTTGCAAACTTGGTTAACTGCAAAGCTTATTTCAGGCCTTGTGAGAGTAGCATACTGCAGGGCACTAACTCTAGATCTATAAAGGGTATCCTGAGACAAGTTACCACCATTTTAAGAGATCTTGCAGGTAGTGGTCATAGAAGAAATAGGTTGAGCTTCAGCCATTTTGGTCTTGTGTAGTAGGTCTCTAATGTATTTGCTTTGAGTCATTAGATGAGACTTGTTAGGTGGATGTTTGATCTCAATACCCAAAAAGCAGTCCTAATGACTCACAGCTGTTCGAGAGCAAATTTTGGGTTAATTTGATTAGTGATTTGCTGAATGAGATGAGTTGATGTGCCAGGGATGATTATATCATCCACGTAAACTAGGATGAAAATAGTGTGCGCCTGATGCTTGTATATGAACAGAGGCGAATCACATATACTAGCTTGAAATCCATACTGATTGAGGGTAAACTTGAGTCTGTCAAACCACTGCTTGGTGCCTGTCTTAGGCTATAAAGTGCCTTGTTTAGCTTACAATCCTGGGGGCTCATCATGGAGTCTGTTTCTTCTGAGACACCATTAAGGAAAAATTATTCACATCCAATTGAAATAACTGGCAATTATTAGTAGGGGCAAGGAGATGATGAACCTGATAGTAATAAGTTTAATAACAAGTGAAAGGGGCAGGCTGCTGTGAGGGTGTAGCAGCGGGTATAGAGGTAGAACTTTGAGGTGTGTGGTTTAGAGTAGAGAGAGGAGGACTAGGACATGGGGGAGACAACTCTTAGAAAGTGCACCTTAAGCTTAACTTAACTCTACAAAAACAATTTGTAAGGTGAGGTTTATACCTATTTATATACCCTAACACACTCTTTATGTTGGGGATTGGACATCTTAAGCATGGGAAATATTTGTGGGTGGTCTAATAGCAGGTGAAACAATAAGCCACACAAATCGTGCTAGAGGTGTCTTCTCAACACTGCACCTCCCCACAATCCTTATTCCCTCCTCTCACACCCAAACCTTCAACACAACACACACACACACACACACACACTATTTTCTTTCTCTCTTTGAAACCCTTGCCCTCTTCGCCAACTTTATCCCAATCTTCTCACCTTCATTGATTCTCAACATGCCAAAGGTTAAAGTTGATACTAAAGGTGCATGTAACAGGTTGAAGCACAAGGGTGTTGGTGTTAGAAGCAAGCAATTGAAGAAAGCTGCTAAGGATCCTAACATGTCGAAGAGACCTTCATATTATCTTCTAAGAGGAGAATCATTGAGTTTTACATAGACTTTCTCTACTTTTAATAATTGAGCTATCCTCCATTGATCGACTGTTTTAACTTGGGCCTTTATTAGTTTATCCTCTCATGTCCAAATGATCTCAAGCCAGATTTTACCATCTTTTACCCAATAGCTGCTATCTCTACTTTCTCTTGAATGCATTTATTCCCTATCCTGTCTTTTATTTTTGCCAACATTCTCAATTGAGATATAGGCCATGGTTGAAATCTGAAGCCTGCCATACAATATGGATGATGTTGCTGGGAAACAGGGATTTGAAAACCCTAATTGGTCTTTATAGTACATTTTTTTTAAAGACTTGTGTTTGCCATGAATCTTTGGCAATGACGAGACAACCACAAAGTAGAAAATGGTGGATGAAATCATAAAATGGCATGAAATGCATGAAAAATGGCAGAAGGAATCTAAACTGCCTTGCTATGCTGCCATGGTGGACGCATTAGACAACAATTATCCACTCATCCACCAGCACATTTTTATAACAACAGCACTAGGCATGTACGTGTTTGTTGCTCTTCACTACCCAGTATTCTGTACCATGATGCATTAGATCGTCTTGCTATTTGGTAAATAACATTTGAAAATGTCTCCATTTCATCCACCCTGCTTGAACCATATGGTTTACGTCTATGTCTTTGTCACTTTATATGATAGATCCAAGGTGCCTAAGTTGTTCTACTGATAGTGCCCCTGGACCCAAGCGAGCTGTTACACGCCCAAGTGGATGGGATGACTATATTCATTAGATTGTATGAGATTTGGTGATGAGCTGCCATTTAGTGAGTGGGTTTGTTAGCCCTCTGCATTTTTCTTTGTGATATTCCTTTTGTAAGATTGCACTGTGCCTCTATAAAACCTATCAATAGCAAGGAATAAAGTATGAGAAGTTATTTCAATATCATATTCTTCCTTTCTCTGTTTTATGGAGGTAGAACCTGACCTCGAATCCAGGTTATTTCCTTTTCCCATAACAACTCTTCCCCATCAGCTACTAATTTATATTATACCACTATAATTCATGTTATCTAAATTATAGTTGGTTTTTTTTTTTTTTTTGCTTTTATTAGTCAGTATATGATATCTTTTCCATTGTTTGCATGTTTTTGTGGGCAGCGAGAAAGGTGGCAAAAGCCTGTTTTGCGACGTTTACAGGTTAGACTTTAGAACATTACAATTATCATATTATTTGCCCCTGTTATGTTATTTATATTTATTCTGATATAAAGTATATGTGATTCAAAAATATATATCGTATCTGTGGTTCAATTTAACAACAATCCTTGAACTGATCTGTTTACAGATGTATAATTTTCTGTCAGAGTATTTCTTCAAGTTCTGCATAAATAGTCGTGATATGATATCAAATTTGTTATGAGATTGTAATTTCATTTGTCAGACCTTTTTCTTTACTAGTTTATGCATTACTTTTGCTATGTCAGAACATGTTTGGTTTACTCAGTCTGGTGTTTTCTAGTTTCCCAATAGAACTTTTGAAAAAAATATAAAAATTCCCCAGAAATAATCTTTATACCAAACATGCACTTAGTGATTTGGTAAATAAAATTTCAAGTTCCTTTAATACCACCACTTAGGGCTTAATTTACTTACTTTAGTTTTGTCCATTCTGGATACATTATTGTTTTCAAAATCTTATTCTGTAATTTGCAGTTTGGTGCTAACTATAGTACTCAATTTTTTTGTTTTCCTCATTGGGGAGAAGGGGGGAAATATATATGTTTGTTTGAACTAAAGTAGTATGCTGGACAATCTCATTATGAAGAGTTTTGACAAGATGAACTTTGCATACAGCCGCCTCCACCGGTTAACGACACCAACCCATATAATGTCTTTCGGCCAAGAGAGAAGGCCCACAGACTTCACACAAGAAGGGTAGGTGGAAAACTTGGCTCATGTTTTCATTGTACCTCAGTTTTGGGTAAATGTTTTTTCCTCAAAGGCATGAGTTTATTGAAGACTTCAAATGATTTTTGGTTGACTAAGCTCTTACATTTTTCTCTTCAGATGCAAAGGAGAGAGAACAATGTGCAGTCATTTGAAAAGCTTCGGCAGGTCAGCTCCTTTAACTGATTATGATTTTTAGGCGTCTGTTGAAGTAAGTAAAATTGAACCTGGATTTCCTCTTTTGAGAGGTCTGTTGAAGTTAGTAAAATTGAACCTGGATCTCCTCTTTTGAGAGGTCTGCTGTTAAGTGTGAAATAATGATTTTATGAACTTGTGGTTTACCTGTCCACTGAATTATTATTTCAAAGATAGAATGTTACAAGTTTGAAAGGATTAGTAGAGGTTTCTTTCCCCTAATTATTGTTTCAGAGAATATTGAGTTTCTTGAAAGACTTATGACCCATATGCCATGTGGTTCTAATCAACTTTCTCCTGATGATTGTACAGAAATGAGCATTTTTTATGTAATATAATTGTGTTTAAATGTTGAGTCAAAATAATATTTCCTCACTTGAAAGTTTCGTAAAATCATCTTTATATCGTCATGATCTTTTAATCTTCTCAGTCACTGTCAAGGGCACAACTTTTGATAAAATAAATTATGTAAAAGTTATCAGTCTGAAACCCATCAGTTTTTGTGGTTGTAGGTAGGATTGTTGTCATTGTAGTACAACACATTAATAAGATGGTGAGGCTTAGGAATGATCATGATTTGACTTAAGAGAGTGAACAATGCAAGTGATATGTATCCAATAATTTAGTGCATGGCTTGTTTGCTGGATGTTGTTTAAAAAGGCACATACAATTTGGTAAACAAAGGTTCTCATCTAACTGTAGTGTCATTTGTCATGAATTTTGTTTTGCTGACATGCTTTAATTAAACCCATTTGGTGGATAAGACAACTTGCAGCTTTATTAATGAAAATGAACAATCTGGTATTGAAGTAATTGCAAATTCACTTAAAAAGAAACATAATTTGGAAATGAAAACACAAATTTTAGCTCATGGTGTCTTAAGCTGATCAGTTGTTTATACAATAGATGGTACTGCTATTCTTGAAATAATTATCAGTTATAATAAAAAATGATTTGATTTTAATTCATTTCATTATTTTTTAGTATTGTTGATGCAGAAAATGTTCATAATTCATATTGTCTTTCTGAAGAAATAGATGGCTTCTGATGCAATATATACATCCTGAAAACTTATTTAAAGCTTTCACCGTTCACAGGTCAGGCGCAACCTTGACCAAGCTAAGAGCTTGTTGGAAGCTTTGATCAAGGTGTGGCTTTCAATTCATTTCTTGAGTGTTATACCGTATCTATATCCTTTTTTGTTTTCATACATATTGTGTTGCTATACGATCATAACCAGAGGGAGGAGAAAAAAAGAGAAGTAATGGAGAGTGAAGTTACGTTGCAGAGGATGCAAATGAAGTACAAGGTATGGATATTCTTTTTTATATTTATTTTGTTGAATCTGCTGACAATTTTAGAGCTGATCCTTAGTGTTAATTCCCGTTTTTGGTGTGAATCTTGACTGGATTGCTTTTGTCTTTGGTTGAGTTACTAAAATACAACACCTTTTCATACATATTTGAGACCTATTGAGCATAGTGAAAAACAATGAGAATTTACTCTTGTTTTTGTTGTCAATCTGTACATAATATAGAATCTGCTAATCAGAGTTGTAATAAGCTATCTCCATGATTTAGTTCTTAGTGTTTCAGTAAGAAGGCTGAAAAAAGATTAAAGATAAGAATTTGCTGGATCAATTTTATAGTTTATTAGTGTTGTGGACTGTGGATATAATTCTTTTTGGCTTGTCTATGGAATGCATTCTTTTAATAAAAATGAGAGTGCTAAAGCATCACAATGTTGTTAGTCATCCCGACAAAGTTGGCATCACAGACAATACCATCGTATGCAGCACCTTAGAATGTCATATAAAAACACAGAAAATACTAAATAAAGTGGGGGAGCATACAGAACCCACAATTAATCCCTAATCCTATGGAAAGGTAAATTAAATCAATGCCTGAAATACTCGGCAAATTAAACTTGGAATATTATCCCTTCATGTATAACCCTGAGTCCTAGTGCCAAAGGCAGTAAGTTTATCAGCACCTTGATTATCCTCACTAAAAATATGAGAAAAATGAATACACATATACTGGTACTAGTTACAAAACAATTGAGCCATCTATTACGATGCTCCCAAGAAACAATGAACTATTAGATAGAGCCTGAATCCATAGATTAGTCTAGCCTCTAGCATTGCAGCTTCAATAGCAAGAATCACCCCATCACCTTAGCATACAAGGCAACGTGAATACCAAGGTATGAAGAAAAACATCCCACAATGGAAGAACAATGATCTCTAGAAATAAAATCCTGCTTCCAAATCTATTAGTATGGTCCTTAGCTGCACCTTTGGTCTTGCATTTAAACCAATAATATAGTATAGAGGAGGAATTTGGAAAACAGGAACATATGAAGTAGCCTTCAATTATGTATATCAACCCAAAAGCTTTTGAGAATGATGGATTTTTTAATAGTAGATTTCATACAGCAGTACCCAGCTCTATTGACCTCAATATATATGGACTGAGACTTGAATAAGCTGGAAAGAAGCTATCAAAACAGACTTTATTCCTTCCCGTCCATCTGGCCTTCGAGATGCCTGAAGACCAGTTTTAGTTTGAATACTCTAAGGTAGGACTGTCAAAATGAGTGGTCTAGCTAAGTCTGGTTTGGTCTGACAGTACGAGTCAATGAAAATAATTAATTGTCTAACTTGATGCTATGTTAGATTAATGGATTAACAATCAACTTTAACATGATTGAAAATTAAAAAGAATTATTTTGTTTATATTAAAATAATTAATTAAAAAAATATTTAAATAAAAATTAAAAATGTATTTTTAAAATTTAAATTTTATTAATGAAATTAATTTTTATTTAAGATGTAATGATTTAATATATAAAGTTACAAGAGAAGAAATTCATTTAATTCCAAAATAAAAGTTAAAAATTTATTTGTCATTAGCATTATTTTTTTTTTTTGTAATTTATTAATCTAAAATTATAATTCATCCTAATCATTAAATCTTGGAATAAATAGATCTTTGAAATTTACTCGTATATTTACTCTTAAAATAATTGAATCTCTTAGCAAATTAATTTATAATACATATATTTTTTAATAAAATAATATTATTTTTATTTTTAATTAAAAATTATTGTTATTTTATAAAATAGTTCAGCTCATAAATTTATGACTAGTTTGGCCTAAGCCCATATAAGCCATAACCTAAATAATTCTAATTCAATTGAGGTCACCAATTTTTTATCTGGTCTATTTTTCGGGTCTTTTGGGCAGCCCATTGGGGTAAATCTATTTTGATACCCCTACTATAAGGGCTTGTTTGTTTGATGCTTTTAAAAATAGTTTTTAGTCTTTTAATTTTTAAAAACTAAAAAACCAAAACTAATAAAACGGTTTTATGTCTCAATTTTATGTTTTCATTAATGGGTATCAAAATCTCCACCAATAATTACATTGAATCATTCATTTTCATCACCATAAAGTTATTAAAATCATTTTTTAATTTTCTGTCACAATTTTTCATGATCATCTATATCATTCTCCTTTGTCTAAAATAGTTTTCAAAAATAGAATTATCACACAAGTTTTTTTTCCAATTTATTTTTAAATACAATTTTTTTAAAATTGATCTAAAACTATTTTTAAAAAGTAAAAAACAAAAACTAAATCAAACAAGCCCTAAAATAGTAGAAGTAGATACCCTTGTAATATGATAGTGAAAAAGGCTACTGAGCTAGGCTTGAAATCTCTTAGCAAAAGCGCAGTCAAAGAATAAGTGCTGGGCAGTCTCTGCAGCAGCTCCAGAGAGATGATAATGCGAGGCAATAATCATACCTCGCTTGGTAAAGTTATACTCAGTAGGTAACTTATTATGATAGATTCTCCAAATCAGAAAAGATGTTGAAGGAGGTACAATTTTACTCCAAATCAAAGCTGAACAAATTGGAAGATTAGGCCCATGCAAAAGGAATTGATATGTAAATTTAAGAGTGAGAACCCCATCAACAGCCTTGTTCCATCTCTATCTATCCTCAACTTCAAATTTAGGGAGGGTTATACCAGTTACAGCAGCTGACAGATTAGGGTTATTAGAGCTAAAAACAGAAGGAATTATACAAAACTGATTCATGATAAAACAGGCCACCTTTGCTTCCAGTCTAGTATGCAGATGGTGAGGTATCTCAAGCCAGTCAACAATAGGAGAGGATGTCAATTTATCCGGCCAAAAATTAACCTTGTTTCCATTACTAATCTGCCAAGTAGAATTGTGACTAACTATATGATGTCTGCTTAATCCCATGGCAAATAGAGGATGCAAAGAAGACTGTATATATGAATTCTTACGCATAACTCTGGTTTTCATAATCTTTGCCCATTTAAGATTAGCATGAAGAAAGTCCATACTTAATCCAAGCTGCCTTCTTAAGATCAGCCAAGGATTTAAGACCTAATCCACCTTCCTTAAGAGGCAAACGTGATGTCTTCCAAGAAACCGTGACCATCTTATGATATTAACATTTCCAAACCAGATGAAATTTCTAATCCAAGACTCCATACGCTTCAATTCTTCGGCCACAAATAAACTCTAAAACTGTGAAGAAGCATACTATTTATAACAGAGGAGAAAGATGTGATCTTCCCATACAAGAGAGCAAAGATCCTTTCCAAGAAACTAGTTTACTCTTAATTCTGTGCACTAGACCATGTAGATGCACTGTCTGAGTCTTTTCAATGAATATAGAGACACCACGGTAAGTAAAAGGTAGTGAACCTTCAGCAAAGCCAATGGTATCATGAACAACTTTCTTCCTTGAGACTCTCCACCCATAATGTAGAATCTGGATTTAGCAATACTAACTTCTTTACCAGCATTCTCTTTATATGATTGAAAAAGTTGGACCAGCTGCTTTAAATTGGACCTAGTGCCTCTACAAAATATAATAACATAATCAGCCTATAAGGTGTGAGTAGGAAAATTCATACCTTTGGGGTCTGCCAAACAAAGAAGCCTTTGCTGTTGTGTCAGAATGTGAGGGCATGACTGAGAATCTCCTCAGCAAGACAGAAACGAAGGTGAGTCCCCTTGCCTAATTCCTACATGAAAGGAAACCAATCAGTCTAAGATTGGTTGAAATAGAGATTTAAGCTGATTGCGGAATTAACCTAATCCATAGGCATAATTGAGGACAAAAGTCAAACTCCTGCAGTACTTGAAGAATGAAATCCCACTTGAGAGTGTCTAATGCTTTCTAATTGTGAAGTAGTTTTTTTAACCTATGAACTAATGTGTACTTCTCTATTCCAGCATGAAACCGAGTTTTTGGAAGATAACTTGGCACTCTCTGGATTTACTGCTTTCTCTTCCAAGTTTGTTTCAAGTGAAGAGGAATATTTTGATTCAGATGATGTCATGACAAACCGCCTTTCTCGAACACGTTCTACTGCTGTACAGAGTTTGCCTTCCCATGACACCAACCTGCCCATGGTTCCTGCAGCTAGCACAAAGCAAGAGTTTAGGAGGAGATATGTCCCGCATGGGTGGCCTCATAAGCTGGTATTTATTTATTTTTATTTATGTATTTGTCTAGATTTGTGTAATTAATTCAATTTTGACTATGTTTTATGATTGCATAGCCAAGATTAATGGACTTCGCTACTTTTTTTTTTTTTTTTAAGAATTGTGTCATTATACAACTCTCTACATTTTTATACATCAACCTTTTTGCGGATATCTCTCCATCGCATCATATCATTTGATACGTTTTATACTTTTGTAAAATTTGTTGTACAAGTTGTGGTACAACTAACATTTCTCTTTGTGAAGTGTCGTTTTCCCTTTTCCCTTTTTGTATTTTCTCTCCTTGTGCACGTCAACATTGTTCAGGATATAGTTGTTGATGAGTTGTTGTGTGTGGCATGGGATTATGCAGGATCCACTTGAACCAGTTTTATTGTTCACCAAACCTCTACTGCCGGATAAGTTGGCCATGGCAGGCATTATGCCACCAGATTCTATTGCAACAAATGGGGTGTCACCAACATCATATAGATTTCGTGGGCGAATGGGTCGAGGTGGCCGGATAATATTTGACCGATGGAATCCACTTATGCAAACACCAATTGATTGTGGTAATTCTTATTACATGCCTCCAAAACCACGACCTTCAACATGTAACTAATTTGTTTGTGTAATCTGGTGCTAAAATGGTACCTTTCCTGTTGGTTAGAATTTAATTGATAATCATTAGGAAGGTACAATGTTGCAAAGGAAACTTGTAAACATGATTTAGGCCTGTAAGTTTTTCTCTTCTTTTTCTAGGTACAAGGTCATTCAAGTATTTTTCATTGGGGCAGTGAAGCTAGATGCATTTTGTATTAATATATCTTAGTTTCCTCTGCCTTTGCTCATGCAATGGATTTTTCATTTTTGTTTTCTTCTGTATAAAAGAAATAAAATCAAGGCTCTTCTGAAGAACCAAAATAACACTTTCAAAATAAATCCCCAGAAGAACATATGAATTTACTCATGGTGACATCTTGTTGAAGGGTCGTTTTCATTTTTTATGCATGCAGAGATCTACGTTATTGAAATCTTGTGAAATGGCCATTTATTGAGGGTGCATTCTGACTTGTTAGAACTATTTTTTGGACTACGTACTTAAAGGCTTTTCAAGTTGTATATTTTCTTTTCCAAAAGAGAATGATCATGCAGTTTTCAAACTAATTTATCTGTATATAAGTCATGCTAAATCAATTTCCAAAATAATTTTGTAGCAGGAATTTGATTTTTTATTTTTTTGTTGTTTGTACACAAAATATTACAAAAGTCAATAATTTTATTATATATAAAATTCCATCATTAGATGACAATGTTAGTGTATTTTATTTGAATTATATTTTTTTTATTTATCCTAGCATATATTTTTTTTATACGACTGCGACAATATTTAGATTTATAAATTCATACCACATCTAAATCTTTTTTTCTTTAGGCCTATATTTATAGAAGTTATTACCAAATAAATTTCTGACAATACGAAAAAAAATAAAATCTTCTTATGGCTTTACAAATTGTACTTGTTATAAATTTTAAAAATATAAAAAATAGTTTTAATTTAAGCCGTTGGAAATTAGGCCACTACGTTAAATTGTTCAATTAATTCATGAATTATTTTAACATGATATCTAATAAATCCCAGTAACTAAATTTTATAACTAAAATTAAGAATATTCGATCTAACTTTAATGACATCTTATTGAGTATTTAGTTACAAATGATTTACGAGATCATAAATCAATCGCAAATTATTTTTGGTATAGAATCACAAAGGTTTGAATTACAAAACTATAATTAATTTAAAAAATTATTAACTTAAAATATACAAATTAGCAGTTACTATGCAAATAAACTTCGATCCTATTTTTACTTTTCGTCATTTCGGTAGAACCGAATCATTTACATTGTCATTTTACCACATATAATCATGTACGGAAATTAGTTAATTTTATAATAACTATTTTAGAAGTTATGTAGATGATTTTTTATCATAAACTAAATTTTCTCCATTGAAATTTGAGTATCTTTTCCCGCCAACCTGTCATCTATAAACGTTGGTTTTAGTACTCCTTTCACGAATTTGTTCTTCTAGACCAAAATAACATGTCTGTGCATGCGATATTGCATAGTACCAAGCATAAAAAATTATGATTTTCCAAGCCTCATATAACTTACAAATATACACAATGATTATATTGGTCCCATGTGAACTACAGCTTTGGTTTCAGTGGTAAGCTATTAAAACGCATTCTTGGAGATACCTTGGAGTTAAGGAATCATATGCACATTGCCCAACAACGTTGGAATCCCTGATGGAACATTAGACTTTGCTCATCAACAATTTTCCACTGCATTCCCCAAACTGTTAGGAAGTTAATCCCTGCAAAAGCTGAAGTGAATGACTTTGATGATGAAAGAGTAAATTACCAATTTAGTATCTAAAATTGTATCTCACTGTCATTAATTCCTGAAATTAAGGAAAACTCAAATAAGTCCCCGCATTGTTTAAAGTTTCATTTTAAGTTTCTAAAATTAATCTCTCTTTCTGTTTTATTTTGATCTCTAAACATGTTATTATTATCACCTCAGTCTTCGGACTAAGGATTAAAATGAACAAAGGGTTACCTATAGGAGCTTAAATAAAACCCTGAAAATTTTCAAGGACTTATTTGAGTTTTTTGTAGTTTTAAGAACTAATATGACAACGAGATGTACATTTCGGGACTAAATTCACCACTTACTCAAGATAAAATTGTAAAGGAAATGTGTAATGCTCCTATTACCTAGAAAAACAACAGAGCCCCGGCATGGAGATATCATTAGCTGTGTGATAGACTCTGCAAAATAATAGTGTAACCCTTTGGAGAGAGTTGATGTATCTGCCTGATTTCTGGATTACATCATTAGCAACTCTAAACTTCCCTAATATCAGGTGATTTAGAAAACATCATCCTGTACATCGGGGCGCGACGCTCTAAAACATGTTTTTCCCAATCTGATCTAACTCCAAATGGGTTTTCATCAAGCCACTCACTTTGGCCCTGCTCCAAATCAAGCTTACCCTTGCCATATCTCAAAAATTGTTGTTTCATTCTTATTGTCACGGCTTCTACATCAGATTGCAGATAGATCTGATCAATGTCAATAGTGTAAGTAAGCCTCAGTATTAACAGACTCAAACTATTCAAAGAATTAAAGTGAAGTCACTACCCTGCACAACAAAGTGTCACTAGACAGTAAAAGGCACAATAAATATAATACTGAAGAAAACAAATATTTTCTAGTCCTGTAAGGGCTAAGGCTTCCCTTCCACTCATATCTGATGAGCAATTGTGTTTTATAAGATTAATGGGGAAGACCTGACTGTCAGCTGCACATTGATTGAGGAAATACTAGTTGAACTCGTTCAACGTCTAATTACCTTCCCATTGGGTGCTAGAAGATCCACCACTGCTTCAATTAAAGATCTCTGCAGCATGCTCCATCTATGCTCAGGTTTATTGAAATCAGGGTTTGGACACTGCAGAAGATAAAGCCAGAATATAGATTCAGGCTAAGCAGTTGATGGATAAAGGAAGAGAATTACAGATAACATGTGATTACTACTCATTTACGTTAAATTCATAGAGACTCATTCACCATAAGAAATAAGTTTGAAACCCCTAAAAATTAATTGTTCTCGTGACAGCAAATTTTCTCATATGTTAACCAATCATATAGGAAGGTTGTGACTTCAAATAATAAACAGGAAAAGGCAAAATCAGGACACAAATAATTGCTTTTATAAATTTGGCTTTAGAAGTACTATTAGTAGAATAATCTGGCTGGCAGATTTAAGTACGACTTATCTCTCTTAACAATGGTTTAAAGTATGTCCTATAGTAATTGTACTGTTTGCTAGTTTGTGATCATCATAACTCAGAAAAGAAGACTCTTCAGTCAGTCTAATACACAGAGAATGATCAAAGCTTTCATGAATGCCAATCATGCAAGAAACTTCTGTGATGGTCGTAAGAAAATGTGGGTAGTTAACTTTTAGGATTTGGACTTGGATTTAGTTGAACCCCTCAAAATTAGCTGGGTGAGAACTGAAAAAGCTGTACAAGTTCTATTTTGTTACAATAATTACCGTATTGGATAACTTGTGAAGATAGATTAACTTATTTGACTTAAAAGCTGTTTTACTGATTAGCTTCTAGCACCTACGAATTGTCTTTTTCATTTGTACTCTTTGTGATTCGGGTGTACTTTTTACTATAAATATATGAATCAGCTAAGGGGTTCAATGAATCTCTAAAACTATTTGTCATTTTCAGTCTCAAGTCATTTAAATCACATTTCTAGTCAATGTGAGCCTGCAATTACGACAACTCCTAAAAAGGTCATAGCTAAGGTGGGTTAGGATGACTGCAATTAATTCCAACACACACTTAGGTTGGGTGCCATCAGAGAATTGTTGGCCATGGCAATAGCATTAGTGCATCTCTACAGTAGTATCAATAGAAATGCATGGCGTCAAGACTCAACAGAGGTGTGTATACATGGTAGCATCAATAGCAAAGGAAGGATCACAACAATCAAATTGTAACGTTATAATCCAAAATATAACGAAATTTAGTTAATTGACCTGTATAGAGACGAGAATTAACACTCCTGGGTAAGTAGAAACAATAGATCGGAATGTTGATGTTGCATTGGTAGCAACAAAGTACCTAAAATAGAGAAAACAGGAAACCAGAGCTAAGAAAGTTAAATGAAGGAAAAAATTTAAACCATGAAGGAGCTCAAATTAGTGACATGATCAGAATTGAATGTATCCTTGCCATAAGTTCAGAATGTTCTTGTCATTCCTTGGTGTTGAACCAAGATAAAATTCAAATTCATTGAATCCAATCAAAAGCAAAAAGGATGCTGCATCTATTTGTACCATGAAAGCAACAGAATTACCCATTCTTTATACCAAATTGATGAATAGAATCCAGACAGCGTGAAACAAGCTGAAAAAGATGTTAACAGGAAAATAAATAAATTAAATCATAATATGGAAAATAAAAATCAGGGTAGAAGGGAGAGAGGAGATAACAAGTAGAGAACCTTTTTATTGATCTCCAAACCAAGGAAGTTTAAATCTTGCCTCCTTCTAGCCATTTCAAGAAGGAAAAGGCCATTGCCTGTAATTTAGATCAAGCCATATCAGGGAAAAACCAGTAACAAGTTTTCAAGTTATTCTGCTCTCTCTGAGTCCTATTCTCCCTCTTCTATTATGGAATTTGGGAATGGGAATGTTATACAAGGATTTTAGGTTAAACATAAAACAAAATGCATGTTATGACAATATGTTTTCATCAACTGTTAATATATTTTATAGTGCAAGAGAACTTTCGGATATGATTCTAGTTATAGAATTTTATAAGCTACATGCCTAGTGAACATTAATTAAAAAAAATACCACTTCCTATATCAACAACCAGAGGTTGAGCTGGGTCAGAGTAAATGGTGTTCCAGTTGATTTCAAAAGGGTATCCCTGCAAAATGTAACTACCATAAGCAGTGATAATATCAATCGTGCAGACTAGATTCATCAGCATACTAGAATGTTAATTACATTCATGGAAAAATATCATTATTGACCTTATATTCCTTATTCATATATGTTGATTACATTCTGTACGGACTATTGGAAAGGAAGAGTTAGTTAATACTGTTAGGATATTGATTAGTTTGTTGGGAGGTTAATGACCCAAAAAAAAATAGAAGGATGCATGGGGAAAGAGGGAATGTTGTTCGTTTTGTAGACTGAACATTAACTCTGTTTTGATGGTAGAAATCCTTTGTGAAAAAACCCTTGGACAAGTAATTGTTCTCATATTTCTAATTCTTTTCATTCTATTAAGTAAAATTCTTTCTTTTCTTTTTCTTTTCAATTCTTGGTTCCTAGTAACAAAATCATTCACAAAATTATGTTTTTATTGATGCATTTTTCACTTAATATGCATTTAAAAATATGTTGTGCAAGAAATTATTGTCCAATTTATTAATAAGTTCATTAAAGAACAAAAACATATTTGCTTTTAGGAACAGAATTCATATATATTGGTTTCCACTGCCTCAGGATCTAAAATAATGGACTCATGACCGTATTTTATTTGATTAGAAAAAGTTCACAAAATAATGAATATATATTATATAATGTTAAGAAACTGAGTCATCTCCATTAATTTCGGAGGAAAAATCCTTACAATGCAAGTTCAAGATGCATGCAAGGTAGTTTTGAAAAATAAAATATTTGAGCATACACTGCATTATTCTCCTGAAATAGATAGTTGAAGAGAGTGGTATAAAGAAATAGTGTTTATCAAGGCATACCCTGTCAACGGCCATAACAGCAGGGAGCTTTCTACCTTTGAGAAATTCCCATACAACTGAAGCATTCTCAATAATATTTATAAAGGACAATGAACATTTTTCCTGTCTCACTAGTTTGCTTGCCATAGTCCCAACAACTGTTATTTCACAGTTGTTTTGGCTTAGTTTATCTAGAATTCTTGCCAATTTAGAAGCCCCGTTGGTGTATTCACTTGAATCAACAAATTTCACTGGACCAATCCAAATTATTTTCTGCAATGGATTCAAAGAAAAATGTTATGCAGTGCCTTGTTACATTTCAAAATGGATGGATAATACATTTTCTTAAATGAAAACACTGTTATCCATTACCAGTACCTAGGGTCGTTGCATGATATTGATTACATACACATTCAAATTCAAATTAGCAGATAAGATGCAAGAATGAAATGCCCATTTTAATAGAAGATTCCTAGAACAGAAATGATAAATCAACCCCAATTCGATTGTTATCTGAAGATTTTTCAGTACATGATAAGAAAATAAACCAACTGCAGTTTATCTTTTATGCCTAGGTATAAATAAATTGCTATTGTACCTTACAATTTGTAAGGGTAGAGCCGATTTCATCCAATGATACAGGTCCTATGTCCACAGGCACCCAAGCTAGATCAAAATAAAATTTGGATTAATTTTATTTACTGAACATAAATAATATCTAACTGAATATCTAAGTAGCACAACCCCTTATCAATTTGAAGAATAGCTCACCATCCAAAATTCCATGAGAAGGAAATACTTGCAATTGCTTTGGATCACATTTTTTCCTGCACCAAAAATCTTTTGGATACAGAATCTGCACATTTCTATCTTGAGCAAGTCTCACTATGTCTAGAGCTTCATTAAGTGCTTTATGGTCCACTAAATTACAAGGAATTGATACTCCTAATGCGTGCATTACTTGAAATGACATCATTCCCACAAAAACAAACCCTTGGCATCTGGAAGCTAAAAACTGAAAGGAAGCTGCTTTATCATAGAGATTACCCCCTCCAATCTGGATCGCAAGAGAAACAAGCAGTGAACAAATTATCAATAAAAGAATTTGAGGCTTTCTTGAATGGAGAAGTTATTGATTATAAATAATAATAACAGCAGAAGAGACATACAATTGCTATATATGGCTTCATGCTGGCTTCTGCAAGATTCTTCAGTAGATCAAGCCTCTCCTCAAAGTGAAAACCAGCTATACAGGCATAGCAGAAACGGGTAACACCAACAGTAGATGCTAGAACTTTGTGACAGTTGGAGAAGGAATCATTGACAAAGATATCAACTCCTGAGGATAATATTCTAGCAAACTCCAAACAATTAGCAACTTCCTCTTTGACATTAGAAAGATTCTCAAGAAGATGTATATTCTCTTTCTCAAGGCTATTCATCTTTGATAAGTTCTTCAAGGAAATGGTATGCAGTGGAACAATTTGAATTTGAAGAACTTCTGATAAGAAATCTACAGCATAGAGATCATCAATTATCCAAAATGGAAGCTTCCTTACATAAAAAATGACATTAGTTAACTCCATTGCTCACTTTGATCACAGTTTTTGTTTGATTAAGTTTCTTCTGTCTTTCCTTGCCTTAAATAAACTAGAATTGCTAGAAGCACTTCAATTGATGACATGATAGCCAAACATGGCAACAGGCAACTAACAACAAGGATTGAACAAAAAACCATTTAGTACCTGCAACTGAGTCTATGTGAAGATCTGGAGTATTCATATTCCAATCACTGACCAAGATGATCTTTGCTCCAGCTCTATGCAAATATTTAATTGTATGTACTGCATTATAAACTGATTGATTCTTCTTGTCACACTCTCGCTTGAGTAATATGTTAGAATCAAATCTGACCATGAGAACTTTTCCATAAAGCTCCTCCCTAGGAAATGCTCTAAGAGTTTGTATATGAGGAATACCATTCAACTCTCCACCATTACTAAAGTTAATCTAACAGTAAAACCATAAAATTCAGAGCCAAAATAGAATAAACAACAAATAACACTGTTCAAGAAAGAATACTACAACCAATCTTGGCCTACAACAAAAATCTTTGACATTACATTTATTCTACCTGGTTATACCATATGATACCAATATGGTTTTATTTAACAGATTTTTTTTATTTAGGAATCAAGACAAAAACACAAAACTCATGCCACATGGAATGGAAAAAGTTGAGATCTAACCACCATAATCATATTGAGTTCAACGTTCTCACGTGTAACATGACTATATATCTCCACATATAGTCTGATAAAGGCTTTATAGCAAGTGGATTGATAGACCCAATAACAATCATTAAGTTAGACTCTAATATTATACTAGAACTTGGATTTAGGTGTAACTCAACCAAAAAACTAGCTTATGCGGTGAACATTGTCCTTCACTTATATATATTATTTTGTTCATACCTCTAATATATATGGGATCTCTAACACATTTAATGCCAAGAACCATTAAGCATGATATTTTTTAGGAATATACAATCAATCTTGTCCATGCACCTAACAGACTAAGCTTTTAGATTATGTAGTCCTTGCAATATCAAAACCTTTGTGACCAAGTGATCAGAACATATTTGTAACCCTTGTTCTTCATAATTAAAAGTTTCAGCACAAGATACAAAAGGCTATGCTTTCTCCCAACTTCATGTTAAATCTCTAGACGGTTTTGCATAAGGTTCCAGTGTGGTACTACACATCAAAGCTGTTATGACCTGTGGGTCAGGAGTAAGATCCTAGTTACTGCTTCCCATTGCAAGGTATGATGATGTTCATACATTTAGGAGAGTTTCCTAAGAAAGACAGAAAATGCATCAGATTGACAAAAAGAAACCTAAAGTAGGTCAGAAATACATTTAGAACACAGTTTAATCTACCCTTTTATAGGGTTGTTCTTTTAGTGGGTTTTGGTATACTCTCCCCACTATTTTGTATATTTTCTTTTATTTATAATGCTGTTTTGGGTTTGCTGCAGATAATTGATAAAATTTAGGGTGCCAACCTAGCTGTTATGACCTTTGGGTCAGGAGAAAGATCCTAGCTACTGCTTCCCATCACAAGGTATGATGGGCTTGTGTTTATACATTTAGGAGAGTTGGTAAAAGAAAAAGAAAAGAACATATCTTGTCACAATTTTGTGCTTAAAAAATATATTGGTACTACCCTTAACTTCGACTCTCAAGTGATGTAGGACTCATGCGCGTACTAAAACAAAATTCTTTAATGATAGGTTCAATCCATCTTGGTATAAGTTTGTTCCTCAAATGAGTTTTGGTATAGTCACCCCAGTATCTTGTATCTTTTATTTTTAATGCTATATTCAATATGCTAATTAATATAACTTGGGGTGCCAACCTACAAGAGATTGCAAGTTATTCACCTATGCCTTTGCATACCAATGTTCTATAGAAAAAAAGTCTGAGTTCTTTCTAATCATCCATAGATATCCAACAATCTTGTTTAGAGCACCAAAGAAAAGACATAATAATGACAGTTAGTGCGTGCCTCCAGAATTTTTGCGGTTCCTTTCTCTCTTTCTCCGTGACATTCAACCTCTCTCTCTTTCCCTTCCTACATAGTTATCACTTATCACTTATCAGAGCGAAGAAAATACTGACTTCCTCTTGAAGCATATTTATTGTCTTAAATTTCAGAAAATGTAGGAAGTGAATCCTAGAATGGTGAAAATAACAGATTCAGAACAAATATTGTGGCACAAAAAGGACCTGCTTAGTATCTTACCTCATGGTTAAACAAGTCCGCAACATGATTTGCTAAGTCCCCAGTGCCTGTCAAAACCAACTTCAAATAAAGCACAGGAAAAGAAAACAAAATAACAAATTAAAAAAAAAAATCCAAAGTAAAACAACCTTGCCAAGCCAGTGGGACACCATTGAACTCATGAATCTTGGCAAACTTTCCAGTATGAGAATATCTTCTTTGCTTAAACAACTTGGGAAAGTCATTGAAACAAAATTTGTTGAAGAAGACAGTTCCATGGAGAAGGTTCACAAGGTGGCCCATCATCAATTTCCCAAGATTGAAGCTGCAAGTTGTAGGAGCAAACAAACAAACAATGAAAATTGAATAAAAGTGGAGAGATTAATAAGAGTAAGAGATTGTACAATACATCATCTACAAACTCTCACAACCATGTACATAAAGAACCAACACAGACACACTCACATAACAGTTGAACTGAGAAGTTAACACAACAGCATTTGGTCACATTGAACTTAGAAAATAAATAAATATTGTTCCATTCCTCTATGAGCAATCAAAAACAACATATTGGAGGAGGAGGATTTCCATTTGCTTCTGTCATATCTATGTTTCAAGGAGAAGACGATGAATAAAGGTGGGATCACCTGTTAACTATATTTTTCAAAATCTAGATTGAATACAAAAATCCTTATATGAATCAAAACTTTCTTGCCATTTAGACATCTGTCTCTTCAATAGATCGTATGCCTTTAAACTTAGAGGTTCAAGCTTCTTCACAGGAGCATCAAACCTCAACGCAACAGGGGAAAGATCATCAAATATCTCTTGGCCGACAGATTCAATCTGTTTAGTGGACTTCTTCTCTTGGACATGAGAAATGAATGTATCATAATTTGTATCACTATAAACAAACTTTTCCTGTACATGGTCTGCAGCAGTCGATTTGAATGAAACTGGACGGTATAACATAAAAGACCTTGGTTTAGAAGAACCAACCCAGGTTTCCTCTCCATCCTCAGCAAGGGAGACTGCATGTTCATCAAGGTGTGTAGGCCCAAAAGCTGAGACAGCAATCTCACCAGCCACCTGCATAACTTCTTTATATCTGAGGCCAACCTCTGCTTCTACTGAAAATTCGCCTCCTTCCAAATTTGAGTACCCATTGCGAAATTCATTAAGCACAAGAAGAACAGGAAAAGGAATAATTGGACCCACAATGTCATCATTGCTGTGGGTTGATGATTTCCTTAAAAAGAATGGAGGCAATTGAGGGAGGTCTGGAACAGCTAAAAATTCCAATGCTACCCTATTGTTGTCCAGATTTCCAACAACTTCATGGCATTTAGCATGACTTAAAAAGGCCAACTGTAACAGTTCCATAGGTAAGTCAGCCCACAATCTTCTCAAGGCAACCTCATGTAAGCTTGATGGTAGCTTGATATCATTAAAAACAGAAGTAACTGCAGGACAGGATCTTAATTGGCCAAACCCACAAGAATTTAATTTTTCGCACAATAACTCATGCACTTCTGCACAAAAAGGTTCCTCGTCATTGGCATACTTACAGATTTTTTCTAGTTTTGTAACCAGGAATTGAGTAAGTCTACCACTTGCATAAGAATAAAGGTAATCCAATTTTAAGTAGATGAAATTTTTTGGAAATTTGTATTTCTCATCACTCATGGGATACAGTAAGTGTCTATCCAAACACAATACTTGATCGTGGCAATCTTCTAAATCTCTGGCATGAGCCCAAGAGGCATGATATCTCTGCAATTCAAACCTTCCCGATGACGAAAGCCTTATCAGTGTAAAACCCCCATTTTCATCCGGTTCACACAGTAATGCAGCAAGTTTATTGCTTAAAATGCCAAATCCCAAAACTATCTCTTTCTTTAGCTGCCAATCAATCCACTCAGGAAGAGCATCCTTTGAGAACTCTTTCCTTAAAAGACATTTTCCACAGTGACACTCGTGACCAGACAAATTAATCTCAAACGGAAGCTCCCAAGCACAGATGGCTGGGTTAATCTTCGAAGTAACAGATCCTTTACGAAATGGTAATATAGACCCATAGCAGAAGGTATTGAACTCACAATTCCAAATAGATCCCAATAAAATACAAAACCCAGATTCAGAAGCCAACTTAAAAGCATCCTCCCTCGAGTGAGACCTCAAATTAGACAAACTTAATACAGACATGAAGCTAGGCCCTTCAATCCCATGCATCCATTGCAACACCGGCATCAAAGGCTTCCTTACATCACAGAGAAGCAAAACACTAGTAGAAGCCACAGCAAAGTAAAAGTTGTCCGGAGCAGCCCTTGACAACGCAAGAAACCGCTCGTTCTCGTCTGGAGCATACCTTCTCAGCGTCTCAATCTTCATCAGGCAACTCACAATACACTCTTTCAGCCTCAAATCAACCAAGAAAACAGCATCGGAACACGCCACAACCAAAATCCTGGGGTGCCAACTAAACTCACAACTCAGCCACACCTTACTCTCTCCAGAATCATTCCAGGGCACCCTCAACCTGGTCCCCTTGAAACCAGCATCGGAGCCACAACTCTCCAAATCAAACAAAAACAACTGGCCACTCTCCAGCAAAACCACGCTCTCTTCCAATATATGAGGACTCCAACAAGCATGCACCACAGGGCAAGTCTTAAAAATCTTACCACCCAAACGAACCACACTAGGTCTATCCAAAATTTGATTATGCCTCACAGCGAACCAGTGAACGGAATAGAGAGTAGTAGCCAGCAAATACCCGATAACACGAGAAGGATCATCGTCGTCGTCATCATTAACAGTGAAACCAAAATCAGCAATAGGGTTAATCGAAATGTTCAAAATACGGTGCGCGGAGCCGATAGAGGCATAAAAAACGTCGTGGTTGGTGTCTAGTTGAATGTGGAAGCGCGAGTCCTTGAAACGGAGCGTGAAAAATGCGAGCTTGTGGTCGTTGTCACCGGCAGGGAAGAAAAGGAGGGCATAAGGGCGGTGGGGGTAGGTGAGGAGGTGGAGGCGATTACGGAGGAAGGGGGAAGCGGCGTCGTTTTGGTTAGGGGAGGAGAAGAGGGAGGCAACGGATGAAGCGGTGGAGGGGAGAATGGAAGGAGGGTGAGATGAGAGAAGGAAACGGGAGGGTAAGAGATGGGGAGGGAGGTGGAGAGAGGGTAAGAGAGAGGGGGAAGAAAAGAGAAGAGAGAGAGAGTTAGGGTTAGGGTTGAAGAGAAGAGGACCGAGAGGGAGAGAAGGGGAATTGGACAGATGAAGAGGGGAAACGGTGGAGGAACCTACTGGGAGGAACGATTTCCATTCCTCGGAGAGTTCCATTGCAATTCAATTGCAGAACCAACACACAGACACACTCACATAACAGTTGAACTGAAAAGTTAACACAACAGCATTTGGTCACATTGAACTTAGAAAATAAATAAATAAATACTGTTCCATATTTCAGGAAATTGGAGTGTGATAGTGAAGTGAGAAACATTTCGATTTTACAAACCAACTGAAAATTTTGTTGCGAGTTCAAGACAAAATTCAATCTTGCCAAGGTTGTTTGTTTCTCTAGTTATCATCAATATTGAACACCGGAAAGAAGAAGCAAAACTCACCTCAGAACATCACTGCTCCTTTTCCACAGTAGCCGAGACGACAGGGTAATTTGGTGAGATGATCAAACGACAGGATACCCTTTGTCGTTTCTTTTAAGCAAGTAAGGCACAAAGAAATAAGATATGATATAATTATCACAGATAAACTTCCCCTTAATTTCTAAAAGAAAAAAATCAAAAGATAAAATTATATATCTTTTCATAATCTAAAAATAACTGATTTACACATTATAAAAATATATATATATATATATATATATATATATATATATTATATGGATTGTCTCTAGATTTTTTTTTTATAAATAATATTATTTAAAAAAATATTTTTCAAAATAACACTTATGATATATTATTTATATAATTAATAATTTTTTATTATTGATCGTATTCTTGATCAAATGAAACGAAAAATACATCGTTTAAGATATGATATATTATTTATATAATTAATAATTTTTTATTATTTATCGTATTCTCGATCAAACTAAAAATACATAAGTAAAACGAGAATATTACGAATAATAAAAAGTGTTAATAGCATAAATAATATTTTAAATATACTATTTTAAAAAATATTTTTTTAAATAGTATTATTTATAATAAAAAAGTCTTGTCTCTGTCCTATTTTATAAGAAATAATTAATAAGGTAATAATTAAGTGGTTTGTTCTGGGATATATCTTAAGAGGTATGTATATCTTACACCAATTTTCAATATATAATTAGTTTTAACATATAAAAAAATATCTAGTTTAAATTTTGTTGGTCTGATTTTTAAGACCATTTGTAGACACTTTAACAAATTTATGTGTATTTTTAGAAATTGTCTTAGTGTATGTGTTGGTTCCTAAAGATAATTTAGAAACATGGCTAATAAGATCATCTATCTCATTAGATTTGTTTGTGTTTTTATTTAAATCTATATTCCCTCGGGTTATCTTTATTTTTAATGCTCCATTTGGTAGAGAAAAAAACTATGAAAAATGAATAAAAATAAAGATTATTTGACCGATTGAAATAGAATAGAACGAAAAAAAAAAAGATAATTTGTAAATATATATATATATATATATATATATATATATATATATATATATATATATATATATATAAAGTTTGGTTTAAAAGAAAAAAAGGAAAGTAATAGTTTTTATGTTAATTACACTTTTACCTTTTGTTTAGCTTTTATTGTTTTCTCATTTTTTTATGATCTATTATGATTTGATACAATCAATTACAAGATTATGAAGACGAGCTAAACCCTAAATGTACATGCTAAAATCTTTGCACACTTAAACAAATGATTATACACGATATAATTGAATAAATGTCTACATTTTGCTTTGAATAAGCCTATGACGCTTGATTTGTAAAAAAAAAAAATAGTTGATAATTTTTTTCTGAAATATCTCGTAACATTTTTATTATTTTTTTTTATTTTTAATAATTATTTTTAAGTTTCTCATTTTAAAATGTTAATAAATATAAAATATATAATTTATAAAAAATATTTAATAAAATATAAATTTTATTAAATTATTATAAAATAATAAGTATTTTAACTATCAATCATTTAAAATATAATTTGTTAATTAACATAAAATTTGATAAGAATAATAAAATTTTAAAAAATATGACATAATAAAATTTAATCAAAATAAATTAGAAATAAAATGATACTAAGTTATACTAAAATTAATGCACAATATTTAGATTTTAAAGATAAAGAATAAAAAAATTAATTAGTGTTGCTAGAGATCATGAAAAGAAATGTGAAAAGCTAAAGTGAAGTGTAAGTTGAAGTAGTTGAAGATAGTAAGAAAGAAAAAAAAAAGTGGGGAATTGAGAATCAACTATGTTTTGTATAATTTAAGACTCGAATACAAATATTTGAGAGTGTGTTAATATTTAAGATTTAAATTTAAATATAAAGTTAGGACGAAAACAAGGTTAAGGTAAAGATTGTTTTACCTATTTTTGTTCATATCTCCAATTTTTTAAAGGGAGAAAAACTTAAACTAATACCCGTACTTAATTAACCTTGAGTGGGAGAAAATCGATTTTTACATGTACATCTTTTATTGTCATCCTTATTTATTACTCCTCGTGAAATAGTAACATTTAAAGATGTCAAATCATTAATATAAGAGTTTCTTTCAAAATTTCTCATCTATCCTCTCCTTTAACTTATGGTTAGATAGGAAATTTTCTAATTTCTAAGAAAATTAAATTCACTATATTTAAATTTTCTTATTCCTAATTTTTAATTTTCAAATTATTTGTTTCGATAAGACAATTCAAATTTATTAAATTTTATTTTTTCTATTTGGATAAAATATTTCAATTACTATTAACTAGAAAAATCACAATTCCTAACCCTCACCCACATGGACTAGACCAACCCAAGGCAAGACATGACAAACTGAATTGGATCATATTAGATAAGGAGTGAATAAGGTTGGACCTAATCAAGATGAGTTTGATTGAATCAGCCAAGACAGAATGGACCAAGTTATGATGATTCAGGTCATGTATAGTTAGGCCGAGTTGGATTGTGAGGGTCCAATCAAAATTGGATAAGACAAACAAGGTCAAGATGTACAAGTTAGGTTAGATCTAAACATGATGTGCTAGGCTGAGATAACTTGGGTCAAACAAGTTTGAACAATTTGGTCAAGGTTGATTAGGAAGGTTTGGATAAGGTTAAGATGGGTAAAGTTGAGACAGTTCCGGTCAAGATAGATTAGTAGAGAGAATTTGAACCACATTGAGATGAGATAGGTCAGGTTGATAGGGGTCAAGATGAGTTTGAGTCAAGATTAGTCAAATCTACTTAAAATGGATTGGGTTAAGTTGATTTAGGTCATGATTGATCGAACAAGATTGAGTTAGGTTGAAATGAGCTAGGTTGGTCGAGTTAGACTAACTTGATCAAGCTACATCAACTTGATAAAGTAAAATCATGTTTATCTAAATCAAACACTTATAGAATAGATTGGTCAATATCAAATCATTTAAGGTGAGTCACCAAAATCGAAAAAGGTCAAGACAAATTAAAGAAGTTTGATCAAAATTAAGTATAAAATAAAATCTAAAAAAATAAATATAAAATTAAAAAAAATACAAAAAATTTCAAATTTTTAATTTTACATAAAAATTAAAATTTTATAATTTTAAATAATTAACTTATTATAAAGAATTCTTAACATGTGAAATCCATTTCATTCCTAACTTTTCCTCTCTTTTTAATAATTATTTATTTGTTCAATAAAAATAAATTATTATAATGATAATATTAGGTCAATTATTTTGAATTAAATATGGTTATTATAATGATAATCTGTGAAGGATGGTTATCAATAATATATTGTATATGGGAAAAGGTTCATGGCGCATGCATGACGTACCAAATTCTACCATGATTCATGTTCAGCAACAACATATCAAAGGGCATATTCTGGATATCACAACTATTCGTATTACATATAAATGAAATATTCTATAATGTCAAATTAATTAGAAAAAATAATTATTATAGAATGAAAGCAAACATGATAATATTAGTAAAATTCTCGTATTACTTGTGTAAATTTTTTAAATATAACTTATATATTTATTGGATATTTTATTTAATCTAAATTTACTTTAATTTAAAATCTAATATAATATCAGATTTTTAATTTTGTCTATTATAATAAAAATATACTTATTCAAAATAATGTTAGAGAAGACTCGCATCATCTCCTTAATTATTTTTAGTTGAAGTAATATCTCAGAGGTAGTTTAATTACATCTAGATTTTATTTAGAAAAAAGAAATGGCAGTTTTTTAAATATTTTCAAAATTAAATATATCATGAATGTATATGTAGTTAATTATTGTACAAATTTAATTATGATACTCCATGATAGAGAGTTTTACAAAATCAAACAATTATAATTAAACATCGTCATTGTTTTTTAAAATAATTACAATAAAAATTAATGAAATTATCATATATAATAATTTATAATTTTAACTTATATAAAATTGGTGATTATTTCTAATTAATAAGTCAAGTTGATAAATAAAATAAAATTTGTTTCACCATTTTTTTAAGACATTTTTTCAATATACCGTTAAAGTTTATTGTAATATGATATTAAAATTTTTATTCTAATATAATATTAAAAATTTTGAAATATCTAACTCAATCTTATAAAATTATAATTATATAATATACAATTATAATTATATTTACTTATATATATTTTATAGTTAATACTATATATATCAATTTTAAACTAATAAATTATTTTTGTTTGACTTTATAACAAATTAATTATTATTTTTTTCAATTAAAGAATTATAATTAAAAATAAAATATATTTTTAAATTTAAGTAAAATAATTAATTTTAGTTTTAAATATAATAATTTTATATAATATTTTGGAACGGTTATAAAGTCTCATATTATTTAATATATACTTTGTTTTCTTAATCTAATACGTTTTTTAAAGGATAAAAGTAAGTGTAGACAAGAGTTTCAAAGTAGATCGTATCTATATATTTTAATAAAATAATATTATTTTTACTTTATTTAAGTCAAAAACTAAAACAATCTAACCATTTACAAATTATTCATAATAGGCTATTTAGCTAATTTTAGAAATTTATTTATAATTATATAAAATATACAATTAATTTATATAATTTTTTATCTTAAAATTGATCA